TTGGCCAAAACACGGGCAGGGCTGAGATAGAACACGGGCGTGCTTCACCAAAGCACGGCCGTGTCCTCCCAAAGCACGGGTGTGTTCTCCATGGAGTAGTTCTCCCATTCATCTGGGTATGGAGAACCCTAGATTTGTATGTTAGGCTTTGATTGTATGAACCCAAGTACTGATTCTATGATTTGATTATATTCGATTGAGGTTTGAATGATTGAATGACTTGAATCCTGATCAAATTCCTGTTGTTTCTGCTTTGACCTAGAATGAGAATATCTGCCTAGGTTGATAGAGCATCCTTGATTGAAGATAGGGAGTTGGTGACTTTAGTCGAGGAGCCAACTCACTATTCTGTACCGGATTTACTCCGGTAGTGGAGGTTTTGTTTGTTAAGCTCTCAATCTGTTTACTCCGGTGGAGGTTAGTCGCCCGCTAGAGACTCAGATTGAGAGGGTCTGAAAACCTTTAGTCGAGACTTCAGGCTGTTTAAGAACCTTCCGCAGTATAACTATCATAGAAACTGAACTTGGTAATTACAATCCGGCTTAACTGCAGTCTAGGGGGAACCATATCCGGGTGACCTCTCTTAACCTGAATACAACCGTTTAGTTGCTTTGTTAGTTTGTTAGTTTAAACCTGCATTAAAGTTTCATTGCTAGATAACAAGAATTCACTGAGTAGTCATCAAATCTAGGACCCGGGTTGATAATTAAACCTAAACCCGCTATACTACGCTTTAGGAAGTGGTTCCACTTGGCCAATTCCTGGAGTGACAGTAGAAGTGAGTCAGAGAGCAACCTACCTAAACACATGTTCTTGATTCGGTTGGCATTTGTGTTTCAGCGGAGGCCAATGATGGCTTACTATGCTCGTTTACTAGGGAGGAGATATTTGCAGTGCTCAAACAAATGGGGAAGAGAAAGGCAACGGGCGAAGATGGGATGCCAAAACTGTTCTATTCGAAATTCTGGCCTATAATTAGTGATTATATCACAGCTCTAGACCTCCACATGCTCGAACATGAGAGTCTCCCCACAAACTTGAATCATACACTGATTGCCATAAGTCCTAAGGTCAAGAACCGAAAGCGCCTAAGGAATTTTAGCCAATTAGTTTGTGTAATGTGCACTACAAGATTACGGTGAAGACTCTGCTAACCGAATGAACAGCATGTTGGATGTCGTGATATCCCCAAAATAGAGTGCATTTATCCCCGGTCGCTTTATTGCAGACAACATCATGGAGGCCTTCGAGTGTTTCCACACAATGAAAAAGCGGACAAAGAACAAAAAGGGTCACTTTGGAGCGAAAATAGACATGGCAAAGGAGTACGATATGGTGGAATGGTGGTTTGTGAAGGGTGTGATGAAGAACATGAACTTTGTAGACCGATGGATTCAAGAGGTGATGATGTGTGTGACATCTGTCTCATATACAGTGCTTGTGAATGACCAATGTTCTCCCAGATTCACCCCCAATATGGGGCTACGACAAGGAGATCCACTCTCCTCATAACTTTTTCTTCTTGTGGAAGAAGGTTTGTCAGCTTATACCACAAAATCAATGCGGGAAAGGAGTATCCATGGATTACACATCGCTAGGGGAGCTGCGGCAGTCTCCCACCTTTTTTCGCTGTCGATTCTATCTTTTTTTCCTAGACCACACCTCAAGAAAGTTGGGAGCTGAAAAAATCCTTAGAGACTATGAAAAAGAATATGGTTAGATGATAAGTTTTGAAAAATCAAAAGTTTGGGTCGGGACAAGTGTGAAATTGCACCAACCTCTCCAAGTGAGCTCGATTTTGAATACAAAGACTGTGGAGAAGTATGATAAGTACCTTGGTTTAGCCACCAAGGTGGGAAGGTCCAAAAATATTTGTTTACTACCATCAAAGAAAGCATGAGAAAAAAGCTCTCGGGGTGTAAGGAAAGAAAGATGTCTTTAGCGGCACGAGAGGTTTTGATTAAGTTTGTGGCCCAAGCTCAACTGACTTATATTATGTCAATCTTTAGGGTACCCGAGGGTATCATTGACAATGTCCATGGCAAGATCATGCAGTTCTGGTGGGTACAAAAATGAGAGGGAAAGAGAATTCCATGGATAGCTAGGGAGAAACTAATATGCCCGAAGGCACACCTGTTTAATGGAGCAAAGCTTGCGGAAGAGGAAATTTTCATGCGATCTTGTGCTATCCTCAATGATTATCACCAATACCAAGAGGCTCTATAGGAGAGACAAGGACCATGCATGCCTTAAGGATGGAGTCACCCAGGGGAAGGAAAGATTAAATCCAATGTTGACGCAGCTAATTTGGTTGGAGGAATGGGAGGATTTTGACCGATACTAGGGCTCGGGGTGCTATACTACATCAGATTGTAGACATGCCCCACCATTCTGCTTGGAAAGATGCGGGAAATTCGACTATCAGGCTCATTAGAGGAAGAGATCCGATACCGGATAGGTTTAGAACAAGACAGGTGGTTGGACCATCTCTATTAGCACCACCAAGGAATGATGATGACTTCGAAGGAGATGGGACATCTCTCTTGGAGGTTTTGCAGATAGAAGAGAAGAACATCGACCTCTACCACTAGACTAGTTAGCAGAGATGGGATGCATATCAACATGATCACATAGATGAGCTAGAGGAGACTCGAGCTTGGAGATCATAGATGGATGAACGACAACGACAGCTAGCTGAGCATAAGTTGATCATGAGATACTACAAATCCATGAGGCCTGGATGAGGACCTATGATCAGAAGTTATCTCATTAGTGAACAGTAATGTAGTTTTGTTAGTGCAGTCTTAATATTTAATGCATTGATTGAGTTCTTGGGATTATGAGAACTCACGTTGCTCTACCTAGTTGATACTTGATATGATTTCTATTGCATGACGATTGATTTATAATGAGATTTTATGCTTCTAGTTGATAAAGTTACAAGTAATGTGAGGTCTTGGAGAGATCAAAACTTAAAGGATGTTGGGAATCTTGACTTATTCTACCCATTCATTTATTCGATTCTGCTCAATTTTTTGTTTGTTTAGAGATGTACTGATTTTTCAAGTGTTGCTTGGGGTATAGTTACCACTCCTAAGGAGGAAGGGCTGAGACTAAAGAATCTATGTGTTTGGCATGTCACTGTGTTGGGCGATTTATAATGGCTTATCTTGCTTAGGGGAGACTCATTTTGGGTTGCTTATATTGCTCGTTATAAGCTTAATGGGCATTCCACTTGGGTTGCAATATCCTGGTCCATTCCCTTGTATTTCCGATGTGGTACTTGGATTGTCTCATACCAATCATTCCCTCAAGACAAGGACCAGAAACTTTGTGTCCTACCTCAGCGATATCTTGATCCCCCAAACCAGATGTAGATCACCTTTGATCTACCAGACAGACCAGAATCTCCCCTGATTTGCCAAACAAACGCAGATCTCAAATCTCAAGGTCATCAAATGAGGGTCCATCACCCCGAACTAGGCTCTTACCACTTTTCGAAATCAAGCAGCTCCATTAGTACTATGTTATCCGCTTTGGGCCAAGCGCGCACTGTTTTGCTTTTGGGTATTCTCCCGAAAAGGCATTGTATTAATGAGCTTGGTGGACACTAATAAACAAGGGTCCAGTCCCTTTTTCAGATGTAGTATTTGGATTGTCCCATAACATCATTCTTGGTAATAAATTTTTGTTTGGGAGTGCGTATTGAAAAAGGTATGCGCTGTCTCGTTGCGTAGTGAAAGCTTATTTGGAAAAGTATTCAAGCATATCAGCCTTCAATGCCTTGGGTTCAACTTGTCTAATCAGACTACTCGTTCCTTAAGAATCATTGTCTGGTGTCTTAGGTTCAGCTATGAGACATCAACATCGTGGTTCGAACCGTGATACAAATCTTGGACTCGGGTTCTTTTGTATGCACGTGTGTCTCATGTGGAGATAAGTGGAGTTTGGAGATGTAGAGCCATTAAAAACTACAACTTCGCAACAAAGAGGGGTGAACTTTGGAAAAGAAGGAGAGAGAAAATTATCATAAAAGTTACACATATGCATTTAGATAGAGCAAAGACATAAAGTCTTAAAGTAACGACCAAAATTCAACACAAACACACCTATCTCAAATTATCTTTTCTCTCTTCTCCTAAAAGTGATAAAACTTTTGCTTTCTTATCTAGACCTACAACTTAATTTGTCCCGCACATGCGACAAATATCAACCGAACTCACCAAGTCAACCCAACCCAAGCCACCCTCACCTATTCAATCCAAATACCCATATCCCGTTAATTGGTGGCTAAATGGGTTTTCATCAAAATAGAAACTAATGGTAGGGGTGGGCAACTATTTGGTAGGTACTAAGAAAGTATAGTACTCTGAGCTAAATCATAACGATTCGAATATAATGTGATTTAGTTTTTAGTTTCGCAACTTCTATGAATGCTAAAAAAATGAACCTAACTAATATTTGAAGCGAATTAGAATAGACTAAACTGAACCAAATATAATTATTCATCTGGCTCTTTATCCTAACATTTCTTACACTAGTGAATCGCAATTCTCACAAATTTAATCCGGTTTGGATCTTACCAGAGGATTCTCACAAATTTCCACTCCCCTAACTGACGCCTTTCATTTCTTACATAACTTTCACATAGTCACGTAAATCTAGCATCTAAATTACAATTTGTAACCTGGATATTTTTAGCCTTAAATTTAGTACCTAAATTTTTAGAATCCTACCTCGTTAATAGACAACCAGAGAAATCACCATCCAACCCATTCGCTACCTCACGAGTCCTACTCATCATTTTCAGTGGAACTGATACAGCAGAGGAACTGAGTCTTTGTTACCTGGATCCTTAGAAAGGTCTGCCATTCTCGAATTTCATAGGGTAACAGATTAGTAGCAATGAAGCATTCCTCGAGTATATGCATATCACTAACCATAGAAGTTACATATTCACATAACAGACGTACTCAGAAGCTTACGAAGCATGGAGGTCATTAAGAAACAGTCAATTGACCCGAATGGTCTAAGGATTTCCAGGATGACTCAAGCCGTAAGAGGTGCAGTTTCTCAACAAACGGTTCGAGAACTTGTGCTTCTTCCTCTGGAGCAAAAGCCATACAAATACTCAGCTCTTGCACTGCCTTCCCGTACTCCCTGCCCATCAATCAACCACAGCATTGTCATACACGCGAATAGTATATGATGCTCCAGCAACAAATTCAAACCGATTCATCACCAGCAGCTTTACCTGTTGTAGTACAACATCATGCCATGGTCTCTCCTCAATGACCAATTATGTGGCTGCAGAATCAAGAGCCTTTCTGAAGCCATTATTGCCCTTCTGTCAACAAGAATTGCTTCCAGATCAGATCAATATGCATCGCCACAAACAGAAACAAAAACAAAACTTCCAACAAACATTCAGATGACTTGTCTATGCCGCATTTTAGTAAATATCGATTGACATTCTGGAGAAAGTATACTGTATGGTATAATGACATTGACAATACACTTACGAGGCTGCAACAGGATAATAGGAACTTAACTTAGAATTATGGCTTTTAGTTACAATATGTATAGACAAGAACTCTTCCCAACCAGCGAGCAACAAATGAATTCATTTCAGTTATTTTACGAAACCCAAGCAGTAGCAAATGAAAGAGTAATCAGAAGTTGAATCTTAACCCTACCTAAGACTTATACCATGGTAAAGACTTTTATTTTGCATGGGTTAAATACTTAAATGAAGTTAAAGAAGAGTGAAATTGGTGTTTCCAAAAGAGTGGACAAATAGTTCTCGAGTCTGACAAAGAAATGCAGTATATAACCTGAGATCTTGAGGCCGAAGCAGAGGAACATTGGAATTATGGATACTGCATAACAATTCCTTGGTAGTTTGAACATGCCTGAGTGGAGAAGTCAACATCAATCCACGAGTTGACCTTGAAGCACGTTTCCAGTGGAGCCTCTACAAATCATCAGAAAATGTGTTTTTACTGATCACCAGCAAGATAGAACACAAAACTATTTGGACAAAGTTGCAAGGAGATATAAAAATAAAATAAAAGGCCATAAAAAATTTATATGGAACAAATATGCATATTCTAGGATTGGAACTTACGATCAAATTTGCCAGAGCAATCCCGATAATGTCTCGGTTTGTAGCAATCTCAAGTCCCAAAAGAGAACCGCTGGTTAAGTCTGATGCCCTTGACCTAGGGTCCTCCACACACTTCCCATTAACAATAGCAAACATACTGTGTCCTTCAGTCACCCTGAAAAGCTCCTAAACATAGACAAAGATACCCAGAAAGATCATTATCCAGCACAATGAGGCGGAATAGTACTGTTCCAACAACAGTGAAGTGACTGATATTTCACTGCAACTACATTGGAGAAAGATGAGGTTGCAAGATTAAAGCACCTCTGGATTCCCTGTCTGGGGCCATATTAGAAAATCCTCCCCGACCCGGGATCCCACAATGGTTATGCCGAGTCTTCTACAAACTTCAATGTAAACTATGCTAAGCAAAATTGCTGTCAGAAAGATAAGGATTAAGTCAGGGAATTGCGCTACTCAAATTTAGACTAGACTACACTAAGAAATCAAAAGTATTTAGAACAATAATGATGATTGCATTTAAAACATGTGACATTTACCATTGCCAGAACCAGTACTCAAAAAAGTGTGCAAGTATGAACACATAGAATCCGTAACAGATGACCTCTTGAAGCCTCTGAATTCAAAAAGAACCAAGTTTATTGCATCCAGAACTTCAACTAGATCACAGCCTATCTCTCTTGAGACTAGCTCCGCCTCAACTTCTTTAGCAATCATATCCAACTCTCCAAGCCATCCAGTTATTGTCTTCCCAGATAATGGCATCTGCTCCACGTTATCCCACTCCTGAGCATGAGATGGCACCGAAAGATTTTTTCTCTCATTGAGCAGTGAACGAGCATCCACCTCTTGATTGAAAGCAACGAAGGCCTCGTCCTCTGCAGCAATATAGAGCAGAGCCTACACATATCAAATTGGTCAACCAAGGATTAGAATCTTCTGATAGTGGGTAGCAACTTTGTTCAAAGAAAGCAAAGAACTTAACTTATAAAACATATCTTTAAACGACTTACACTTCAAAGAATGGACTTCTAGCAATCGCCTTGGGCAAGGCGTGTATTTGGGAAATAATACACGCACAAACAGTAAACATAACAAGGAGAGAGAGAGAGAGAGAGAGAGAGAGAGAGAGAGAGAGAGAGAACAAAAAAGAAAAACGTCCCACAATTGTGATGAACATGTCACACCAGAAATGCCACATATAAAACTGTAAATTCCAGTAGATGATTTAAAGAATATCAATATACCCTTGCTAGAGAGATGTCTTTGTCCTTCGACTGGAATGAAATTTCTTGGGTGAACTTTTGCCTTGCAGATTTGGCAACCTAGCAATTGAATTCAAACCAACAAACACAAGATTAGCCAGAGTAGGTGATAGAGGATTATATTAGTAGGAAGTCCAACAGGACAACTGGATATGTGATATTCGAAGGAGGGAAGCAAAGGCAAAATATTATGCGAGTGTGATAAAGAAAATTAATGGGGTAAGCTAAGATGCGTGTTAAATGGGGTACAAATCAACCTCCTGATACATTTTGAGGTGGGTTGAGCCCCTGGTCATCTGATCGGGTGAAACAGGGGATGCTGAAGCTGAAACAATAGCAGTCACATTTCTAATCCAAGGGAAAAGGGTCCTCCTCCTGGGCATCCAAAGGCGATCATGATCATACCTGATGATCACCGTGTAAAGAATAAAAGGGATATTGGGGTTTGACCACCAGAAAATCCATCTTTCACCTCTAGATTTAATTTATAAGAACATATCACAAAAACTAGCACTGCGACAAGCACGATGCAATATCAACAATTACTATAAAATTGCAGAGTACAGAGAAGGATGATAAGGCAATCACCTGCAAGCACGAAGAGCACACGGAACTGCTGACATAGTTGTTGCAGTACAACTCAGTGATGAGTTAGCCAACATATTCTTCTCTGGCAACTTCTCTTTTGTGTTTTACGAAGAGTTTGATTGCTTCAAACAACAAAGTGACAGCACAGCCAGCAAATCAGGGAAGATGAGAGAAACAATAGACCAAACAATCATAGAGAGGGAGAAGATGAAAACTCGAGAAAATCTTGAGCATTATGAATGGCAGGACCAGTAGAGAGATTAAGAAAGCACTAGTGGACAAGTGAAGGGAAGGATTGATTAAAGGGTTTCAAGCTATTGGAATTCGCTTCCAAGAAACCATGGGCAACGAAATGAAGAAGACGACTACGATGATGATTTAAATGACAACTCTGATCAAGAAGATGAAGCAAAGTCGGGTAATTAAGGAAGAAGACGAATGATTGCCGGATATCCATACACATCAAGGTACAGAAGGCCGCTTGTTCCTATAGTGAAGGAAAAAGACAGCTGATTGATTAAATGGTGTGATGTTTGTTTGGTCACGCGTAAATGTTAAAAGATTGGAGATGAAAGTAACGACAGAAGCTCTCCAGACCAGACAGCAGCCCAGACGCCATCAATTTCACTGTAGTAGTGACAGATGCAACCTAACTTGGTAATGGTAACATTATTTTATGAGACAATGGGCAAGTGGGTTACCATCGTCCAACTGGTGGCCAAATGACATATGAATGAGGGAAATGGTTTTAAAAACAAGGAATCAGCACCCAGCATTCCACATCTCACCGTCACTTATCAGAGCACCCATGTGACAGAAAGTCCACAATTCTAACATCAGCCAAAGATCCCAAAAAAAAAAAAGGAAAATGAAGCAGTTGTCTCCTAGCAAATATACCTTTCCTAGCTCTCCTTAGAAAATAGAGCAGTGAACAAGGAATAGAGAGGAAGCTTCATTGATCAGATGCAAGAGAACTCGAATAAGAAGATGCAATTTTAAAAAGGGGTATGAACAACTGCATGACAGGGGAGCATCCCATGGAATTAGTACGAGAGTGATCCAGTAATCAATCAGTTCAGATAAGGCTACCAAAAGAAACTAATTAATAACAATGGAGGAGTGGATGATGATGATGAGGATGCCAACCCACACCCACTGATGACGACCATTACTTTCTGCAGATTGAAAACGACCTGCGAGAGAAAGAAAGACCAAAGGAGAAAGGCAAGGAAAGGCTTTCTTCCCTCCATCCCTCATTGTTAACCCCACACCATGCCTACTTCTCCTTATCCCTAAACCTTCAATTTGTCCCTTTGTGCCCTACTTGTACGCAAGAACCCCTAAACTTATTCGCCCTGCTTCTGAAACCGTCAATGGCTGTTTCTCAAACCATCCAAATTATCATCCACATCATGACCACCACCACCACCATGGCACCTTATTCCAAGCATATCCGATATCAATCCAGCTCTTCCATTCCCAAAACGAATTCTATATTCGCCTTTCTTTCCCTCTTTAGCCTTTCGTGTAAAGGTAACAACAAGAAAACTATACTAATCTAACAACCACACGCAATTAAACAAAACGAAACACGACAGAGAAGCATAGAAGGCGTACAGTTAGAAGTAAGCGGAATGTGCTCCGGACGGCAGCAAAGAAGAGTCTGGAACTTGCGGCGGCGGCAGCGGCGGAATGCTTTGAAGTGAAAAAATCGGTCATCGTTTTTCAATTACTTCTTTAAGCCTTGCCGCACTCTTTCCAGCTAGGTTTCACCAAAAAGGATCGAACCTAGTGCCGCGGCCGGCAGAAGATTAAAGCAAATCAAGAAGCACCAGCCGAAACTACCAACGGCTGCCTAGGCACGGCGGAGACGGAAAGCGCGTGGCGTAACTTAGCGAGAGAGAGAGAGAGAGAGAGAGAGAGAGAGAGAGAGAGAGAGAGACGGCGGAGGGAACTAGACGGAGAGATCGGGCGAGCGATCAGACAGGGGAGAGGAAGAAGAAGCCAAGAAGGTGACGATGAGGCCGTTGAATTGAGTGACTGCTGCTGACATAATAACAGCCTTCGGACAAGTCACACTCTCTCTGCGGCCGCGTTCGCTCGCTTTTCGGGAAATGTGAGAAAAGATTTGGGAAGTGGGCCCTGGGCCTTCGACCTTGGAGGCTTGGATGGACGGTCACGGTTAGACTATTTTTTCTTTTTTTTGGGCTGAATACAGACGCTAATAGCGTTCTAGAATCTAGATCATATCATTAGTATCACCACTCATGATAATGCCTATCTTACCATACAAAAGCCAATATTAAATGTTTGGATTGCTCCTATCGGAGACATGTATACCAAAAGTAAGGGGAACGACCTTTACGAGTAAGGAGGTCGGTTACAAAATTACATTCGCTATAAACATGTTTAACTTCAACATTCCATTCTCTAAAAAAAAAATGCTCTCAAAGAGCTTAGCAATGAGTCCATGATAGTGATCAGTAGGGGTGTTCAAATGGTTACCATGGTTATAACCAAACCAAATAAGGCTAAATTCCATTAACCATGGAATACAATATCATAATCAAACCGTCCAAACTAGTACAACAACCAAATTAACCAAACTAAAGTTTAATTGGTTTGGTTAATTGGTTAACCAGATTAACCAATATAAAATCACATTATCATTGATGATGAAAATTTTCTGGTTAATGCAACAATTCACAATTTATATAATGAATAAAACATAACAATCAACACATAGTTATAGTTGACCCTTAACAAAAATACATGCAACTAAGACAATTATCTTACGATTAGTATAGAAGTATTCACCTAACAAAAATTTATGACAATGGTATGGGTTAATGAATTGTTGTGTTTGGGTAAATTGACTTAGTCTCTTAGCAATTATCATAGGCTGGAAATGACCTTCCTTTCAAGTTTTCATACATCATAATGTATGAAATTTATCCAAATTAGGCGTCCATGACCATATGTTGTGGTCTACACTTTATATATACAAATATACACTATATGAGCAATATTGAGCTTTATATTTTATACGAGTCTAAAAGGGATGAATGTTAACTCTTGAGTTGTTATGCAAAGTATTAAGTATGTGTATATAATATATGTTAGATATATGACTAATTAATTAACTGGTTAATTTGGTTTGACTGGTTAGGAGTGTCTGAAACCAAACCAAACCACCTAAACCAAACAAGCTAAAAACTTTAACCAAACCAAACCAATTATCCAAATTAACCAAACCAAATTATCCAAATAGTACCGGTTAAAACGGTTACCACGGTAACCAAACCATTTGAACACCCCTAGTGATCAGATTGATCCTTTTTCTTGATGATGTTCGGAGTTAAAGTTGAATCAAGGTTGAGCTCAACCCTTCTTTAACAAGCTGCCAAGCCATTTCCAATTCTTTTGCAGCTCCTTTCAATTAAGCCTGAGTGATGGCACTTCTTCCAAGATTGCTAGGAAATGCGTCCCTCCCCCAAGCATCTTCCTAGATGATCCCTTATTAGACCAACAACGGCAGCTTGTCCAGAGGGTTGATCACAGACCCGTCAGTTTGAACTTGTATCCAACCTTCTCGTGTGGGTCTCTTAGGGCCAGTAAACCCCAAGTCAACGAGGTCATTCTCATCTAAACATTTGCTAAAGTCTTTCACCTCGTCAAAGTTGAATGGGGAACCCCCTTGCTTCTCGGAGGACTTCGAAATGACGTTGAAATCTCCTAATAGGATCCAGGGGATCTTTGTACCTCTTCAAATCCTTCCAATTGACTCCCATAGCTCCCCTATATTGTGCACATTTGGGCTGGCATAAATTGCCATCAATTGACATATCTCTTTGTCCGCCTTCTAGCATTGAGGTTGCTAAACTGCCTTTGACAGTCCAAAAGCTCGAAGCTCATCTTATCCTCATTCCATAAAACCGAAATACCTCCACTGAAACCTACGGCAACTGACACTTTCCATGAATCAAAGCCTAGTGACCAGTGCAGTCAAAATAGCACATTAAAACGTAAAAACTTACGTTTTTACATATCTAGATAACAAAAATTATTCAGTTCTACCTAAAGTTGCTTGGACACAAAAAAAAAATTGAGTAAACCATGGGGGAAATCGGTAAATTGCATAAAATAGGTAAAATCGTGATTCTAATGAATTTTTATCCGATTTTGACCATCCTTTAAAAATGCACTAATTTGCCCAAAAACGATGCCATTTTGGAGATTGATTCGAGCATAATTACAAATATTTTATCCTTCATTTCTTGATCGTTTGACTTGGTAATCGTCGTCCCTCGACCTATTTCACGCTAAGTTTGTGTTCATTTAAAAAATATTTCAGTAACCTAACACATGTGGAAAGGGCGAGGACAAGTTTCAGGACGTATGCAGGTCGAAAAAAGCCAAAGTATGATGAAAGTGAAAAGATCACGGGATGGGAGAAAATATCACGGTCACAGCCCGTGAACATTGATCGTAGGTCGTGAATTGCTAAGGAAAAGGAGGCTTCGGATGGATCGCAGGCGGAGTCAAGATCGCGGTCTCAAGACCATGACATTTACTAGCGGACTGTCAAGGATTTAACCCTAGAAGAAGAAGATCTTGAGCTATTTTGTAATCTCTCTCTTCTCTCTATGTATTAGACCTTTTTTCTTTGGTAGTGAACCCTAGGTCTAGATTTTGGTTTGATGATGATGTATGTAATAGATTCTATGTTTGATTGATGATTTAATCTATTTGATGGATGGTTTTGATGAACTGCATAATTTTGGATTCCACTTCATGTCAATTGAGCTTTTTACCTATGAGGGAGATAATCCGCTTATAGCACATTATTGGTGTCTTAGGGTCACTCTTATCATATGTCATCTGGGTAATCCCCGGCGGAGTTGATTCGATCTATCTCGTAACGATATAGGGTTTCCCTAGGTTGAATGGAGTGCCTACCCATCCATCACTTCGTCGTTCCGGGTCAAGCCCGAGTAAGTCAATCTCCTAACGATAGGATAGTGAGTAAATCGAGCTAGAATAGTACTCAACATCGATCCAAATGACGGAACTAGGGAGATTCAAGCTAAGGGAGCTCCGCCACTTGTAATTAGCTAGGGTAGTGGTTAGATTATTGTAGATAGGTTAGTTTCTTAATCACTATCCTAGGTTGGCTGGATAACGAAAACTCAAGCCAAAGTAAGGTACGCGTAGGAGACCCATGCTTCTATATGTTTATTGTTTACTTACCCTATGCTACATCCGGTCGTCGGTTATGCTTGACCGTTGATTGAGATGTGCAGTTAGAGTCGAATCAAGTTTTTGGCGCTGTTGCTGAGAAACATTCTAGTATATCGGAAAAAGGCTTAGGTCGTTAGTTTAGCCATTTTGTTTTTTGTTTTGTGTTTGTTGACCTACTCTTCGTCTTGAAGGGTGTTTTGTGTTTGTTTGAGTTTCTTTTTGTGTTTTTGTGTTTGTAGGTTGAATCATGGATCTCAATGACTTCTACAACATGTGGGGTATCCACAACCATCCGAATGGGGTACCCCGGAGCTTCATGGAGTAATCAAGAGGATGGAAGCCAAAGATTTGAGTTCTGTGATCAACCTCCCTTCCAAGAAGAACAACCATGCTCATGGGGATATCAAGAAGATTCCTCATACAAAGAAGATTTCCCTCCATAACCCAAGGCGAAATCCAAGTTGGAGTTGGCAATGGAAGCCTTCATGGGGAATTCCTCAAGAGCATGTGCCACTCTACAACAGGAGCCAAAGAGCAAATTAGAGTTCATGGTGGAGCGGTTTGCCCGAGGCACAAACAAAGGATGCTCGAACTTGGATCTCCCACAACCCAAAGTGAAGTTCAAATTGGAACTTGTCAGGGAGAACTTTGAAAGAGCATGCTCCAAGACGGATTTCCAACCCATCCATCCTCCCGATTTGACATTACAAAAGAAGGTGGCACTAGCTTCTTTCACAAGTTTTGACTTCAATTAGGATGATCAATTATTATAATATTAAAATGGGTGGGAAAGGAAATGTGTTTCTGTTATTAGTTTTGACTTCGAACATTAAATGGATAATTACATAATTGCATATTAAATTTAGGACGATAAATAATAATTTTAATACGACAAATAACAATTTCCAATCTAAATTGTTTCTCTAACTCTCCTCTCTCTCTCTTTCATATGGGCTGAAATAGTATCCAGTACCGATTAACCATCCTTCTTTCCGACAGAGTATGTCTCTTCACGTACACAACTACACGTGATTTAAAAGACAAAAGAAACCCTAATACGAAGGTATCTGAAAGGGAGAGAGAGACTGCTGTGGCTTCTTCCCCAATTAGTGAAACACCACCAACCTTCTTTCCTTCCCTTCCCTTCTCCCAAACCCCAATCCACAGAGTTCTGTACTGTTCTGTTAGCAATACATCCCTTTCCCCAATTTCCCCCATTCCTGACAAAGCAACCAGCTGAAAGATTAACAAGCCCCATAAGCATTCCTCATAAACGAATCCCACAAGCAATGCAAACGACATTCTTCCACATCTCGCAAGCAATGAGGCCGATATAGCTAATAGCTAGCTCCGTTTCCTCAAGAAGCCGCATTCTTCCGCAGGAGGGAAACACAAACCCTCCAAGCTTCAACAACCTTCCCCAATCCATGGCAGAGTAAGTAGAAATACCAAAAAAAATTCTCTACCCAGATCTGCAAAAATCGATCAAGATGTTTTCTGATGATGGATTGTTCCAATCCCTGCTGTATAATTTCATTCCCGTCTCCTTCGCACCCCAAATAATCAAAAAGTTTCAATCTTTTTTCAGCTCAATAAACCTCTGCCTAATTGCTCTGTTTTTTTCCCCCCTCTCTCTGTTTTCCCAGATCTCCCAAAACCTCGTACTACGAAGAGAATGTGGTCGCCACCAGCAGAAGGGAAAGGGCGTCCTACTCATCCCCATCCTCCGGCGCCGGCGCCACCACGAGCGTCCACGTCACCGCCCTCGACGGGCTGGTCAACGTCAACTCCCTCTTCACAATCGCCGTCTTCGTGGGGCTCTCCTTCACGACCCCAGGCCAGCGCAGCCTCGAGAATCGGACCTCCTGCGACGCCGGGATCGAGGAGGCCAAGAAGCTTCTGGTGTTCGAGGTCGTCTCCTTCAGCTTCTTCCTCTTCTCCTCGCTGATCGCGCAGGGTTTGAAGCTGGCCATCAATCTGCTCAACAGTAAAGACGTGGACGAGGCGTTCAAGGCCCACATCAATCTCAAGGTTCTGAGGTTCGGGATGATGGGCTCCGCGATTGGATCCGTGATGGGATGCATTTTCCTGGTCCTGTCGATGGTGAACGTGATCGAGATTCGGCTCGGGCTGCTGTCGTGTGGGAGTAAGAGCGCGATTCATGCGGTGGCGGCGCTGGTCTTGCTGGTTTCCTCTGCTCTCTTGTGTTATATCTCGACTGCTGTTTATGCTTTCTTGCACTGAAAATGATGTGATGATGAAAATTTGGATGGATGGATGGATGGGTTGATATGATATGAAAGGTATGAATTGGTTTTGATGTGAGAGTTTGTTGCGTTGGTTGCGTGAATTGAGAAATCTGGCAGTCATTAGACTAAGTTAGAGTAATCATCCGTCATGGGATAAGAACACGAGGGGAGGGGAGTATTGGTGTTGCCTGTTGCGTGAGGCGTGAGGCGATCGTGGTAGGAACTTTACAACAAATGAATTGTTGGGTTGTTTGATGAGATATATTTCTGTGTAGGATTTGCAATTTTGTCATAGTCTTATATTTTGAGGAATTTTGGCAAAATAACGTGTTTAGGAAGGGTTTTTTAAAATGAGAGATTTTGTATATGGAATTTCAAAATCGGACAAGTGTGGGTTTTTAAAATAGTTAATTAGGATCAGTTTTTTTTTCCTCCTAGAATTAACCTTCTCTTTTCTTATTTGGGTTTTCAAAATAGTTAATTAGCAGATGCCAGGCAGAGACAAACCTAGCTCTGTTGGCCGATTGCAATGGAGACGCGGAATCATGGTGAAACGGTACGATAAGAAAGTACGAAGATGGAAACGAAGTTTTGATTGAAGGGAACTCTTTAGTGCTACGAAAGCTAGAACCCTTTTCTCCCAACAATTTTCCGTTCATCTTGGCAACCACGTCGAGCTTCTAGCGTATTGGTGGTAGCAACTGTCCCACCGGTATCCAAATTAAACAAGAAGAGGGAATATGTAGCAAGATTTCGGTGACCCAAGAAACCCACAAGTCTGAGTTCTAGGACATGAAGAAGAGAACAGACGGAATTAGAAGCTTACGTGAACAAAAATACCCATATCATCCTAACAATGGAAGACAAATGAAATCGAGCTGATAACAGGAGTCACCACCTACGGGCACCTGAAATCCTCGCCGATCGTCTGGCGGCAAGGAAAATCTAAACACCACCTACGGGCACCTGAAATCCTCGCCGATCGTCTGGCGGCAAGGAAAATCTAAACAAAAAACTTATGGAGATGCAGGGGATCGAACCCGCATGCAAAGCGGGCGCTCTACCATTTGAGCTACATCCCCAAGTTTGTTCAGAAATTGAAGTTAATCAATTTATACTAATTTATATGCCAGTGCGAACTTACAGAAAACTAGCTGTTCTTTTATTGGCCAAAGGTGGTAGAATTGTATTCATAACTATAATGTTTTTATAATTGTTACTAAAGCCAATGGTGAAAATAATGCTGAACAAGAAGATTATCGCAGACTTTTCACAATTTGATTTATAGATCGATCTATCCTACTGCATTTCCCACAACCATTTGAAGATGGAGAAGCGACCAATGACCAATCAGCAACGCCAACGACTGGGTAACCTACTGCATCCTACATTCGACATGTTGGAAGATCTGTTCTAGAGAAACCAGAGAACTTCCACACAAAAAAAAAAACTCTGCAGCCATCCGCGCTGGTTGCACACAAAATGATCAGCACTATTCTGGAATGGCTTGCTGCTCACGGCAAGGTTAACAGAAACCATGGCATCATTTGACTTCGGTCACTTTCTAATCGTTCGTCGATACGCTTATAAGTAATAATAGTCTTTGAATGAGGAGATAAGATCTTATGGTCAGCAACCAGCAAGAACAGTTTCGACACATCCGCAGAAAACTCATAGCCTAATAGAGAAATGAAAGCATTTTTGTAAAGATAACAGCAACAACATCAATCGACGATCGAGGACTTCAAAAAAAGCAACAGAAGTACGAGACGGCTGGCAACCGTGGCTGATTGTGAGCTTTCTCCGCTGTCTTCCATCACATGTGTAGAACATGGCAAATTCCACCCTAAACTTTTACTTGCAAATAAAACATGAATCCCAGCTAAGCAAGTATCGCCCAAAAGGCAAGAACAGAAACCGGAAGATTAAAGAAGAAACCCCAAAAACAGTATAGCTTTCTATTTTACGCCTCCCTACACCACCACAAGCCTGAATTCAATGCACCACCACCCGGTGGAGAAGAAGGGATGCGTTTCGGCGTTTCCTACCACTCTGCCAGCAGATTAAGAGCAGCAACTTTTCCCGGGCACCATCAAGAATTAATTCCTGCAGAGCACAGCTATATATCCATTTTCCGACTTCTCAACTAGTCTTCTTGGAACTTGTTTTGTCGATCCACCGGATTTTCCTGCTAGAGACAAAAGCAACTGCAACTTGACAGGGACTACCATAAGTCAGGAGCTTACAACATCCTAATAATCAGCTAACTAAAACCTGTCCATCGCTCATCAAATTGGGAACTCTTAGCCACTGGGAGAACCGAGCCAGCTCCAGATTGAAGCTACTTGGTAACCGACGAACATTCTTAGAGTAAAGACTATCCTGATCAGGGACTGGACTTTTACTAGCTCTACCAACTTGTCTGACCATAGTGCATTGAAGAAACAAAAACCATGCCACTTTTGTTCCATTATCTTCTTCATTCATTTATTGATGAATGGTAGGCGATAAATTTAGAGAAGATCATAATGATCTGTGATATGCTCAAACGTCAAACGGTTGGCTGAGTGTTCAGAGTTCAAACCTAGTAGTCATCAATCATCATGATGGGGCAGATTTTGCTTTAGTTTTGATTGTCTTTCTCATTCTTCCTTATTTGAGAATTTCAGTAGTTTTCTTGGATAAGCTGAAGCCTTTCAGGAAAAGTAGTATCTAGTTAGGAATTCATTTTCATACACTAATTTGCCAATGAAGTTCTGTAACTCCTATACATGAAGGGGAGGAGGTTAGTTCCAAACTATTGGGAGATTATATCAGATACATGAACTTTTCCTTGTGATTTATTAGGCTTATGAAATCTAGGCTGTCACCCCGAGCTACCAGACCTTACTCCCCATAGGTGTGGCGGTTCTTCCTCCATTATATCTAGAAAAAATCCTATATTGAACTATTTCTTCTAAATTCCAGCAACCCCTAGTTCTCTTATATATTCACAGCAGCTCTAGCCACATCACATCGCCTATGATGCTAATGTAATCATCCCCTAGAAGATTCTCCGGTCTAATCACCCTAGTCAACAATCTAAGCGCCATTATATTGTTCAAGGTGAAAAAAGACAGCTACAGATTAGGAGACAGAACTCTAAACATACATGAAACTGGAAAGAGCAATGAAACCAAAATAAACAAGAAAGGAAACATGAAGTGTAGAAAACTTGCAGTTGTGGTACCTCCCCCTCATCATGTTTTCCTGCCTTCCATAAGCTGTCAAGCAAATTGAATACCCAACAACATCTGCATAGAAACTGTGCATTCTGAAAGTTAAAATACTCATTCAATCTGCAAGAAGCATGTTGAGGAAGTTTTAAAAAATGAAATTGAGAAGGACCTGCATTTCATTATTCCCTAGGTTACTCATACCTCACTCTGCTACCTTCATGACAATTTCTTTATTCTGTTCAAGTGTCTGTTGATCGATCTCATTCAGTTGATTGGTTTCTTCTTCCTGGAGAAGCTCTTCCCTGGAAATTTCCCTTCCCCAATAATTGATGAAAAGAGGCATACTACAAACTTCATACTCTAACAACAACCATCTATCCTATTTAAATGTTAGAATCCCCATTTTGTAGACATACAATGAAACAAAATTCTCATGTTCTCTAGACCATTTTCCAAGTCGCTTTCTGGCTTATTTTGTGAATGCTGCTGCCTTATTCAAGGACAGGTGAGCCGACACAGGAATGAAGTAAAAAGCAGCAACCTACTGGCTATTATTCTTTAGCAAAAACATTCCAGCCCCACATGAATTGGGTTTCCTAGATCTTATAGGGATGCCTTTTTTTCACCTAGAGGCCAAAGTTACATGTTTCCATATTAACTTTTGTCCGGGGTAAGCTGAGAAAGCAAACAACCCTGCGCTGACACCAGAGCAAGAAATAGAAACATTCTGTTTCCAAGGTATCTGCTGGATATTACAAAGTATGAAAGCTGGTATTAACACATATCATCCACGAGCAAAAGCTTCCATGATCATAATAATAATACTTGCATTGCATGCAAAGGTTATCTAGTGTGGGACTGTTTTTGTACCTCAGATTCAACTTTCCTCACATTGTCAACAATAACTTGGATTTTGGAAGACCATTCTTCTGTTTGATCCTCAACACTTTTTATAAAACTAAGTAACTTCTCTTTATATACTGAACATAAATGATCCTGGAGATCCAGCTCTTTGGTAAGCTCTTCAATTTTCTTGTCCTTGTCACCCTACAAGTAAAAAAATTAACCAAGGCTCTCAGGTACAGCTAACTTAAAAGTGAAACATAAAATTATACACATGCCCTTCAGAGCTATTTTCTAGCACCACAGGGGCAGAATTGCTAAAATCAAGCATCTGTTAACCTCAGTACCAACTGTCCTTCAAACCGGCACATTCCTTTCATGGTGAAAATCATAGAAAAAAACAAGGAACCTAATAACAGCGTTCTTAGCTAACATGACAATACTGGATATCACTAGTGAACATAAGTTCCAACTAGTAATTGTCAAGATAGCTAGATATAGTTAAAAGTACTCATCCATGGATCTAAGTAGCAGAAATCTGCCTTAGTACAATAAACATAAGATGAAGTTCTAAACAAGATCGGGCCTCTTGATCACTATTATTGATAAAGAAGACTAAAATGTTATAGCAATTGTATATGTTAGTTGTGTCATCATTGATCATCCAAATAAGATGTGGTCATCAATCGAGATACTAACCGCTGCATTGAAACCATTGGCAGTTGCAACCAAGGGGTGATTATGTTCCTTTTCAAATCTTGTGACAACCCATTTTCCTGACTTCTCCAATTTAACTAAGATTGTTGCTTTGCACCCCTCACGGGCACTTGATCGCGGCTTCTTATCTTGTACAAGTCTGCCCTTATTATTAGGCGAGAATCCTTGTTTGTTGCATCCAAGTCTACGAGCAAGAGTCCTTCCATCAACCCCAGAACGGCGACGTTGCATAACACGCACAAAAAATCCAACCCGTCTGGCATACTCGACGTAAAAATTTCTGGCATCATCTTCAGATTCAAATATCATGCCAACGTATGGTTCTAGATTTGAATCCGCTTCTGATACACCAGTATTTTCTTCCACAGGGCGGTCAACTTCCTTGTCCAGATCCACATCCACTGCAGCATAATCAACACAACTAGTAAGCATCATCACAAACTTTTCCATTCCTAGAAGCATAACTTTTTGGTTTAGTTAGTTAAAGTTGAACGTTCAGGTAAGTAACATTAGTTGTCTGTCAAGGTACTACTTATCTCAGATGACTAGTGTAATCTCAAAACCATGTTACTGTCTATAAGCTCAAGGCTATACAAGTTGTAAAGACATGTTATGATCTAAAAGGGCCACTTTGCTTGCAAAAGATCAAGAGGCAGACATTGCTAATCATTCAGACTTGTAGCTTACTGTAAGATAGTCAAAACAAAAATTATAATGAATATACAAAATTTAAACTAGATAAACAATAATAATTAGATACTTTCAATGTGTGAGCATAGTAAGACGTAATATATTGTCATAACATCAATGCCTTGCAGAATTCTGATCAGGATATTCAGAGGAAGAATCCTGCAATAGTTACTGATATAAAGTTGGCACAATTTTATGTACCAGCCATGCTAGTTGCTCCGAGTTAAGTAAATTTCTTCAAGTAGTTCACATATCTATAACATATTTCAAGTGAAATTTACCTTATAGATTGTAACTGGGAATAATAATTACACTAAAAGTATCACATTCGAGGCAAACTAATCTAAGACGAAACAGGTCATTTTTTCTCAACTGAACTTAGACGACCACTTTGCCAGGGGGGAAATTGTTTACATGAATATCCATTCCGGTCACGTTTACACAACTGTTACTGAACAAAATTGCTGCCTAAAGGCACCATTCCGCATCCAGCGCCACATACTTTCCGTTTCAAAAAATTCATGAAACAGTTGTATTGTTTCGAATGCTAATCACATCAAAGACAGGAGCGCTTCACCTGACTATATACTAAGCATAAAGACATAAAGTTCGACCTCCTCTCTTCGTGTATTTCTTACTTCCTTCATTCTAAAGTTTAACGATCTTGTTCGTGGAAATATAAAGGGCTGAACGTACAAGCACTAAATAGCTCATACTCGGGCGAAAGAACTTCCCGAGAAAGTCCAAATTAAATAGTGATGCAAACTACAATCTGCTAGCTAGCTGGCTGTGATTCCCACCAATGTGATATGGTAATGTTTCCAAGTCATAACGGTAGAACGGACCACTGAAGGTATATAAACAAGATGAATCTCCTTCCGGCACATCCATAATTTGCTTGAGATGACAAGTTTCTGAACTGGACTTATCCAATAGAAAAATTCAACTTCCAAATTCCATTTCACAGCTATGTGTCAATCAAGAAAGAAGCAATCAAGACTAGGCATTTTACCTCTATCCAAGTCTAAATCCATCAGTGGCGCAACCCCACGGATACACATACAAATTGGGAACTCAGAGGGAGTCTGTCGGCGGCTTCACAATCTTGACCTGACATAAAGCACGCAGGTAGATTACACCAATTATAGCGACGCGCGACATGGCACGGGGAGAGAAAATTGAAACTACTCCCAAATGGAAGAAGGTAGCCATTGATGTAACTACAACACCAAATTCCAGGCAGTTCAAAGGAAACCCTAATAGAGCGAGAACAATAAGTTGGGCATATAATATAAGACAATCTTGAACGGATGAGGAGCAGAGACTGGGGCCAACTGCCAAGACAAACAACAAGGTACCTGAAGGAAGGAAGGAAGGAAGGGTCCTGTTTTGGGTTACAGCTTTTCAGCTCGATCTTGTCCCGAGAGGCTCACTGGCTCAGGCACGCAGAGGCGAGCGATCCTTTTCTGCAAATTCATAATTTTACCTTTCTTTTCTATTTTGTTAAGTTAACTAATTAAAATATCAGGATTGGATAGGGTGACTTCATTTTGGTGAATTTAACTAATAAAAAGAATTAATTTGTGATTTATTTTATAAAAATGAAAGTTAAAAATAGATGTTATTTTTTGAATTCAAAGTATAATAGTTTGGGTGGTGATATTATATATTGAATTTAAATATGGGTTTTTTTTTTGAAATATTGTATTTTATTTAAATATGAATATAGATTGTAAGTAAGTTGTTTTCAAATATATTTTATATATGCTAAATTTCATTTGATCTTAATAGCTTTCATGGGTAAAATACCTCCGGTACCACTAAAATTTGAGAATTGGGGCAGACATACCACTAAAGTTTGAATAGGGCGTCAGATACCATTAAAGTCACCAAAATGTGCATCCGTCTAGTTTTCCATCCAAACAAAAAAATTTAATTACTTTTTGGTACCCAAAACTTTTAAAAACATCCAAAACTATATTTCAACAAGTTTTTATCTAATATAGAAATTAAAAAACCTTCTAAACATTATATTACTAAAATGACTAATCAAAATTTTCAATAAAATAGATAAGTTAGTAAAAATAATAATATCAAGAAGAAGAACAAATATATAGAATATAATAATAAATATTTAAAATCAATATTAGAAGATCTATTTAAATCACTAATCCGATAAGAAGTACCATTAAAAATAGTTAAAATAGAATCTAATCGATCATCAATACATCAAGACCAAAGAATGATAAATGGAACATAGTTAGAAAGAATTAAACATATTACAGTAATTGAAGATAATTTAGAACGAAAATAGAACGAAAGTAACCAAGAAAATTATACAACATCCAAATGATGTACGAGAATTCAATATAACATCCTCATATTATTTATATCGATATAGAATTCATAGGATATATTTGCTTAAGCAAATTATTCGATTATTATAACACATAATGGTAATTTAAAGTACTTATAATGATAATTGATTCTACATTTCCTATTCAAAAATTGGTTTGGTATCAAAAGCTTTTAAAAAAAAGATAGAATAATTCAATTATTAGAAAATATAATAATAATTGAAAATAATTATAATAATAATTGATTTTAAATTTTCTATTCAAAAATTAATTTGGTATCAAGTTTTCAAAAGAGGATACCAATTAAATAATAAAAATTGATATTTTTCATAAGTCAAAAATGATAATTTACAATAAGAAAAGTAGAAGGACCAATTAAGAAATTTAGAAAACAGAATATTCTATCAACTTTAACGGAATACACTAAACATTAAACTTAAGTGGTACCGGGTGCACAAATAATAGAGTTCAGTGGTACCCAACGCCCTATTCAAACTTAAGTGGTATGCATACCCCAATTCTGAAACTTAAGTGGTATCCGAGGTATTTTACCCTAGCTTTCATATATTTTCATATTTTATTAACTAACACAAAAAGGTTGTACCATTGGTCAAACTATTTCACTTGCTAAAACGATACAAAAGTATAAACCGGTTTGACAACCTTTTTATCATAGCATTGCTGTCATGTCGGTGGCATGCTGGAAGGTACAACCGGGTACAACCAGTACTAGTTACAAAATTATTGGAATACCTCTATTATGACCAGTATGATCGATTTTCGACATTTAAACAAAATTATGATCATTTTAATTTAATTAACAAAAAAAAATCATTTGAATCTTGAATTTAAAAGTATAAACTTTGTTAGATTCAAATATGAGAGTGTGGTGTCAAAAATTAGTACTAAATACTAGCTTTATACCCGCCCGTTGGGCGGTAAATTTTGATTGGTTATTATATTTTTCGTCATTGTATTATAATTTTATTTATGATTCATTATGTTAAACTATTATACATTAAATTGTTAATATCACTTACCAAATTTCATATATTGTTTCACATTTTTATATCTTTCATTTATTTGAAAATTTAATTTTATTAAATGAGCTCTCTATAGTACTTTTTTTATTGATTTATAATTGTGTATCGAATCCACCATTTAAGATATAAACTAAGAGATTATTAATTTATTAGCACACAAAGTGACAAAGAAGTTAAAATTTTGAAGGACACAAAAGAAGAAGTTAAAATTTGCAAATATATTTCAATTAATAAAAAAAAGTGAAGAGCTTTCATTTTCTCACCCTTCTCGTACGTTGGTATACGATAATAGAGAATATCGCGATCTAGATCCCACAAATACCGTGCAGTATCAGTTAATCGTGTAATTTTGGAAGAATGAGATAGATTACTGCCAAAAGGATCATGTTTTTCTACCTAATAACAACATAGATGAATAGTAAAAGTTCTATACTTCAATAAAACTCAAGTCATTACATCTTGCAGAGTCCCCATTGTGAATCGGATTGATGCATCAATTCAAATAGTAGTTGTTATGAAAACAATCAGGCCAAAATCAAGCTTTAGTTAGGGATTTAATTAGGCAAAATTCACGCTAAGGAAACAAACCAGTGTCATTACAAACATCTAGAAATTGGGGAAAACATCGACATTTACTATCATTTTATTTCTTCTTCGCGCCCTTTATAAAACCCCAAATATGTTCCCTCCTACTTATAACCCCCTGCTACATATTATTTACTTGATCAGATCATCGTCATATAGCTAGCTAGTAGCATGTCACTCACGAACATAATAAACATAATGAACAATCCTCACAACTCTGTTTTCCATTTTAACATCCAAGGAATCGAGTTGCAATAGGCCTTCAAGGAAAACGATCAATTATTCAACCAAAGGAGAGATGCTCCAAGTCCAAGCAACAAACCCTTTAAATTATATGTTACATGTTTACATCGAAGTATATAGGATAACAGAGAACCATAAAACAACTACCAGAATAACGAAGAAGAAATACAACCATTGAATCAAAAAGGGAAATTTACTGTCCAGTCGTCGTAATTTGGAAGAAATTAAGAAAAGAATGGGAAGAAGACTATAACTCGGCCAGTCAACCGCTAGCAGTTAGATATCTCTGAGGAAGAAAGATCAATTGCCCGCTGCGGATCAAAAGGGAAGAGGGAGAAATGATAGGCTGGACTTTCCTTCGGCAATAGGCAAAAATATGTTAGAGTTGTTCAATTTTTTTCCAACAAATCATTGCATCATGTAACTCCCGCCTCCTATTCTCCTACAAAGAGGAAAAAACTCAATATGCCTTACCATTTCCTTTCCTATATCTATATACAAAAAAGTAGAGAATACAAATTCTAGAAACTCAAAATTTAAGCAAATAAGAAAAGAGCTTTATTTGTTTTTGTGGGGCTTGATCTAGTTTCTTTATTATCAATGTTGTGTTTTATTTTCAATGTTGTATGGAAAAGGAATAGGAACAAATCAAAATGTTGCATTCATTTTTATTAACTTAATTTACTTTTTATTGATAATGATGACAATTTAAAGAGTAAGCAAAAAAGCACACCAATTAGACCTTGTCCAGCGTGGAAGGGTGAGAGCTAGCTAAGTACTGATGTGGCACTAAATTAGTTTTAGATTCCTACAATATTAAGTAATGATTATTTATACAATATTAAGACATCAACTATTAAATAAATTTTTTCAACCCTTATTTGATCAATGCTAAGGTAGTGGTTGATGAAACGTGATGTTTATCTTATATCCTCAACGAAGATTTTCTTAACCTTCACACGTGTTATTTTTTAAGTGATGTTGTGTCTCATCCTAGGTATAAAGTCAAAATTCGTCAAAAATCATACTTAAGTCATTTTGAAAACTTTGATGTAATAATTTTGACAATATCTCCAAATCTGAAAAGAAATTACTTAGCATTCGACTTATGACCTCAATAGAGATTGTTCAATTAATATGATCTAGAGTGAATATTTTAATATGAACCCTAGGACAAATTATAAAATATTGCACACCTGATCCTTCTTAGTTTGAGAAACTGAAGATAGAACATGAATATATGTTTTCACTTAATCATGATAAATAAGAAGTTTTTTAAAGAAAGAACTATTATTGCTTAGTCAAGTCTATATTCAGACCTTTTGCTATATAAGACTTGTTTTATTTGATAGAAATATATATTAGAAATAATTCGACGAAAAAAATACATTAGAAATAAGATAGTTGTTAATACAAAAAATCTAAATTCATATATTTCATTTTCAAAGTCGACTAATAAAAATATTATTATATATGTGTACTTTTTTAATCATTTGTTTTCGATGTTTCTATTTTAAATTTTGTTCAATTGATACAAATATTATTATATATGTGTACTTTTTTAATCATTTGTTTTCAATGTTTCTATTGTAATATTTTGTTTAATTGATAAAAATATTATTATATATGTGTACTTTTTATATTTTTGTCAAAATGTGACTTATTATTAAGTTTTGGTGAAAATGAGTAAAAAATTTACTTGATAAGATTTAATCATATACTTTTCATTTAAACATATTCGATATAGTCACTATCTAGTTCCATCTTTATATTTGTTTTAATTGACAAAAATATTATACTTTTGTGTGTTTGTTTACATTCTCATAAAAATGTAATTTATTATTAATTTTTAGTAAAAATGAGTAGAAATATTAAAAGAAGAGAGAGATAGCTCCATAAATAGATCAATAATGAATTTTTTGTTTTCAAAAAAGTTGTCCACCTTGGCATCTTGTGAATTCTCCAAGTGCTTATGTGGCAAGAAGTTACTTTTGAATTGCTATAATATATAGTATAGATATAGATAGATAGATAGATAGATAGATAGATAGATATAGATAGATAGATAGATAGATTTAGATGTTTATGTTATTTGTTAGATTCAAGTATAAATTTTTGGATGTTGGCGCTAAATATTGTATTTAAATATCATGACTTTTCATTTTGTTTGAAATGTTGTATTATCTAATTATGGATGCTGATTTTAAAGATATATATTATCTTGAAATATATACTTGCACATATATTTAAGGTGAAATGAGAAACCTTTTTCTAGTTTCAAATTTTCTGGCCGGAAGGCCATTTTTGTAAATTTGTCCAGTTTTCTTTGTAGATTACAGATAGGGTTATAGACATATTTTGCCACTCTACTTTCCAAAGTTCTCAAACATGTCCCTTTGCAATGTTTTACATAAGTTTTGCCCTTCTACTATAGCAAGGTAATCAAATATACCTTTCATCCATTTTTCTATTAGTTGACCATTATTTTTGGTCAAATATGAAAAATTGATTTAATGAGAATGTTGTAACACCCTACCCTATACGTATTACCTAATCATATTGTTCATATGCAGCGGAAATAATCTCGGGTGTTACATTAATTATCAAAATTTACCAAAATAAAATTTCGACATGAATTACTCGCGTAATGGGCTAACAGTTCTTGTAACTAAAACCTGCAAAATAATTTATATGAATCCATGAATTCAATGACAAACATATATACTCACAACCATATACATGGGCTTTCATAGCCATAGTCACAGTTTCATACTACACAACTGCATACCATACTGATACAAGTCATAATCGTCACAACTTACACAATTACAAAAATATACACATATCATCAACTTTCCACACATGTGGATATCTCACACTACATCATAAGCTAGTATGCACATGAAAAACGTTCTCAAAACATTTTTACAAAAAGGTGTGGATCACTGGCCAAAATCCCGAGTAGTAGTCCAAGCACAAAATAGTTGAAGACCATACCTCATCTTGCCTTCAACTCTTGCTCAGCTCCCACCTATTCACCTATCTACTGCTGCTAATGATGATGGTCTGCTTACACATGTCATAAGCAAAGAAAAAAGATAAAGAGGGTCAGCTCATAGCTGAGTGAGATAATCATAGCATCGTGAGTTCATAACAGAGCATACCCCTACCATACATCTAGCAAACAAGCCAAAGCACTAGGATCAGACCTCAGGCATCCGACATCCCAATAGGCAAAAGACTCAACCACCTTGACTTATGCATATGCATCTTATCATGTTTTACTTATAGGCGCTTGACTACTCCCATGCTAATAACTCTCCCGGGAAACATACCCCATATCAAGTCGGATGTAGTCATACATACCCCAACATCCCGTCGGATGTGGTCATACATACCCCACACCACTATGGATGTAGTCATACCCCGACACCGCTCTGCGTGTGGTCATATCTCGTAATAATTCTTCAGTCACCACCACATGAGAGGTGTGACTATCATACATATCATACTAGAGTAATAGCATAGAGAGCCCTATTTACTATGTAGTTGACCATGAGACCACAACACTCATATTTGGTATCCTTATACATGATTCATATCTCATCTTGCTTAATCATAATTCATTACTTGCACATGTACTTGACCTGGCCATAATTGGCTCAACATAGGTGAATCAGGAGTCGTATAATTGCACTTCCTCGGGATAAACCCTCGTGCAAGTCATCCTCCTTAAACATCATAATATCACCCTGAGAAGTTTATTTCCCCCACTTGGGAATCCAAATACAACCACAATATCACATCATGTCAAAACACCTGATCAAACAACCATGAAGTCATATCAACGGTTAAGCCACAAATGGCAACATGTATACAATCATCAACATAAACAAGGTCCATATCGGCTAGGGCAAGTCATCATACAACAATTCATGGTTCATCATATAGCATAAAATTCCATACACCCCTAATCATGTCATTCTAATTCACCTAGGTCAATTCTAAGCATCAATATAATTATCGTGATACGACAAACCCGGTATGCCGTGCTAATCCCTCACCAGTTCTGGTCATTCAAACGCCGGTTTTAGCTTCTCGTACTAAAACGTCAATTTCACGAACGAACTCGGAATTAGAATCTGCGACCGTCCTAATATCTCCTCCAGATCAAGTTCTCGATAAAAACACATCAAACCCTGGCAGGAGCTAAATTCAGCGATTTGGACCCCGACCTAAATAATTGCCGAAATTCATGGATTAGAACTAGAGTATTGATTACCTCGCTGCAGGAAGCTCGTATATGAAATTTGGGCTCAATCCGGCTTCTGGATACTCCGAAACCCTAATTCCTTCGATCGGAAATTCAAGAAATTCCTTATCCAAAAACTCGTTTTAAAGCTCTAAATCGATAAATCACGATGTATGGATGGATTAGGCGTTACTTACAGGATTTTTGGATCACTAGGGCTCAAGAATTAAGCTTTGGAAAATTTTCCCTCGCGTCCATGTGGGCGCTCTGCTTGCTCTGTAGCTCTCAGCAATTAAAAGGAAGAAGATGAGATTGCTTGGGGAAAGAAATGGACCGGGGAGATTTAATACTGAATGGTTAAACATCACCGTAGGTTTACTAAAATTGTCCTAACTTAAAACATAAAATTATTAAGTTATCCTTTGTTAACCAAATCAAATTAAAACAAACAAACAAACAACCCTACTCCATTTTCGTTGATAATCGCCCTTGCTCAACTACCGTCCATCGTCGATTTTCCTGCACTTTCTTTAATCATCGGTGATACCATCCACAACCGCGGCCAACCTACACAACTCCCAAAACCCTCTATCGCCATTCCTTCTCACTCACTACTAGGAATGGCAATGGGGCAGGTCCGGGGCGGGTATCTCGATACCCATACCCGCCCCATGGCAGGTCGGGTCCAGGTCGGGTAATTTATCACGGGGCGCGGGTCGGGGCAGGTCGACCCATTGGGTATGTAATTTATGTGAAAAACATTAGAAATATTCGTTCTTTTCATTGAAAGACCAAGAAAGAAACCATAATATGATAAAATGTAGTTAAATTATTGAAGAAATTGAGGTTTTTACTTATTTACAACTTTATTATAGCTAAAATATAATGTAATAAGAAGAAAATCTTAAGTAATTTAACTAATATTATATGTAATTTAGGCAAGAACGGGTCGAGAATGGGGCAGGTCAGGGCAGGTCGGGTCGATGAGAGGTACCCATGCCCGCCCCGCCCCGCCTACGGGGCGGGTTTGACCCGCCCCAAAACAGGTCAAACAGGTCGGGTAAATCGGGTCAGGTCGAAATTGCCATCCCTACTCACTACATGTGAGGTCTTCGGCTGCTAGATTAATCACCATTTCTTGAAGATTATATCGCTAATTACGCCTTCCTTCTCTATGTATTCAGAGTCATTCCCCAATTCTCTAGGGATGCATTGAATCTCGGTCTCTCGGTTGGGGGAAAAGAATTGCATAAAGGGGATAGTTTTGGCAAACATCATCATCCAGCTTAATTAATCTTCCCAAAATCATGTTGGTGATGAACCCTCTGTTATCATCATGTCTGTCATGTATATCCGACCCAAGTGAATGACGGCGGGCGGTGGTGGGGGAATCGGGGGCGGCGGCCGGAGGGTAATGCCAACCGTCAATTTTTTGTTTGTTGGTGGATTTTTTTTATTAGAACAAAATATATCCCAACAATAAAAACGACAAAAGGCTAAAGAGGTAATTGTAGCTTTTAATTTAGGGCGATTAAAATGAATTAGGGCGACAATTAGCAACTCCTTTTAATAAACTCTCCCACCGCCTGACCATTTTTAAATTTTTTTCCTTTTTATTAATTATATTATATTAATGTATATATTTATATAATTAATATGTATACTTATCCGATTGATTGATAATCCGATTTCCGCCGAAATATTATTAAAACGCTCGATTTTAAATCGCGAATTTTCTAGCGATCGAAATATAGGTTTTGACGAAACGGATGTTACAAATGTGCTGTCAAAAATCAGACCCAAAAGGTAGGCACGTTATCTTTCCCTGGAAGAATAGGAAGAAACAGGAGTAAAGTGGGATTTTTTTTTTATAATTCATCTGCAATCCAAAAATTACAAGTGGGAATCTTTTTGGGTTTGGACTTTTTTACTTAACCTGCATACATAAACAAACAATGATTTTAGCTAAAATACCACATACAAATTTCTTGGGTCTTCATTTGTACATTGTTTCGTCCAAACGTCTCCTTAGGGTTTAAGAGAATCTCTAAGCATTAATAACACTTATATAGTCTCGTTAAGGACATTTGATTTTGTTCGTGCTTATGCAGCAAGCTAAAAAATACATTGCGAGTATACAAAATATTCTTTTATAATAACCTATGAAAGGGCACAACATGTTCGGTGTTATGCTTTCTGAATTTCGTACATATATAAAAAGTTCAGGTTGTGAACTTTATAAATTGATATTTACAAATATTTGATTTACTTGCTAAACATATATTCAAATTTCCAAATCACAAATAATATCGTATATTCTACATATACCAAATGGGTAAATGTTACATTTGGTCACTGAGACTACTAAATCGTGTCATGTTTAGTCACTGAAAATATTTAATATCAATTTTGGTCACTTGAATTACCGAAACATGTCACATTTAGTCACTCTCCCGTTAGCCTTCGTCCAACTACGGTCACTCGAATTATTGAAACATGTCACACTTAGTCACTCGAATTACTAAAACATGTCATATTTAGTCACTCTCATGTTAGTTTTCGTACAACTCCATTAATGAAGTTGGACAGAAACTAACGGGAGAGTGACTAAATGTGACTTATTTCAGTAATTCGAGTGACCAAAATTGATATTAAATTTTTCAAGTGACTAAACATGACAAAATTTAGTAATCTCAGTGACCAAATATGGCATTTACCATATACCACCAATTTTTTTTTTTTTTTTTACGGGACCTATACCACCAAATTTAAGATGTAAGTATGTAACATAGGGGAAGTTTTTCGATTCAGTTCTTGAGTAAACCTTTTCAATCTTCTCTGAACAAATGGAAAATGGATCAATCAATCGCCACACCCCCAGAAAAACATGTTTATAAATTATAAAATCTCACACCACAACAACAAGCCGTCTCTAAAACTGTGAAAGTAAATCAACAAATGTTTACACAAATTAGTAAACAAAAAAAAAAGGTGTAAAAAAATGAATCAATCAAATCTCTCCCTTTCCCCTCCCTCTCTACATCTCTTACAAGTAAATCACGACAAGATAGAGAAAGAATCAAAATGGAACCTGATTGGATGATCAACTTAATCATCGCCATCAATTTAAAGAAGAAGAAGAAGAAGAAATTGAAAGCAATCAAGTGGAACTCAAAGCAGCAAACCCACCGCCTTTCATCATCTGCTTGAACTCCTTGAAATTCACCATCCCATCGCCGTCGACGTCGACCTTCATGATCATCTTGCGGCAATCCTCGACGGTCCGGCCTTGCTTGAGCCCGAGGGAGGCCAGCACAGATCTGAGCTCATCAACGGTGATGAATCCGTCGCCGTTCTGGTCGAAGACGTTGAATGCCTCCCGCATGTCCTCTTCCTCGTCGCGCTCGTCCATTATCGTCTGGTAAAGCTCCCCGAACTCGTCCATGTCGACGAATCCGTCGCCGTTGACGTCGATCTTCTCTATCATCTGCGTGAGATCCCCCTCCGGAATGTAGATCCCCAAATTCTGCAGCGAGTCGCTCAGCTCCTTCCTGGTGATCTTCCCGTCCCCGTTCCTATCGAACATCTGGAACACTCTCTTTAGCTCGGTTGCGTCCATTTTTTGTTCCCCCCCTGATTTTGTATTCTCTTCTCGATTAATCCTCTCGGAAGGGTCGATTGAATATTGAGAGGGGAAGGGGAGGTTGGATTTGCTGCTAATTGATTGATTGAAAAGGTTTGTTGCTGTGTTTGGGGATTCTAGGGTTGAAGGAAGTATGATGGGGTTTGAAAAGGGAAGGTATAATTAGGGATTGTGGGGAATTACAGAGATGGAGGGATGAATGGAGAATGAATGGAATTTGCTTTAAGTGGGAGGGGAAAGTGAATGAGTGGTGTAAAATTTCGGAAGGTGTTAAAATGAACGGGAAGACGCTTATTTAGGGGAGCTGATTGGTTGTTTGCTCGTTGAAAGTTTGAATGAGTCGCATTGGAAAGGAGGGAAGGGTTTTTGGACCGTTTGAGTTGAAACGGGCAGAAGGAGAATCATCAGTAGTCGGGCCAAACCCCAAGACCTCCGCCAGTAGTCCGGACAAATGTGGTGTGCCTCCGAGAAGACTATGATAGTGGTGAGGATCGAACCTGGGATTTCTCGATCACTGGTCTGCCTCTCTTACTACGAGGCTATGTGACCTTTGGCGGAGAATCGTTGTTGGTTGGTTGGCTGGCTTGAGGATCTGTCTTTCTACTTTGTCCAAGAGTGAATGGGTGTAGTGGCGGGGGCTAAAATAGAGTAGAGTGCATTATGCTTATGCATACAATTTCATGACCAAATATAGCTCTTGATTTTAAGAGCATCCACAACTGTTGTTATGTTGCTATTTCATATTCTATGTGGTATTTTCATTTCCTCTTTTATTGTTGGAGCCCTTATTCCATAAAGTGGGAACTTCCACTTAATGAAATACCAAATGGAAGAGTAAGAGTGGGCTACACCTACGTTTATGTTATTTTTCTTTTGCTTTCTTCATTTCTATTCTATTTTGTGAGTTGTGAGAGAGTGTATTTTTGTTTTGTGGGCCAATTATGAAATAGATAATGGATTTCATTGATGTAGAGAAAATGAAATTGATTTGTAGTGAAATGAAAAAGGTAGCTAATGTGGCGGTAGGGACCACATATGAAATATAAATGTTATTTCATGGATGTAGAGGTCTAAGTAAGTTGATATCTAAAGGATAAGATCAAGGGATCGTGCTATTTGTAGTAGTGATGGCTATGGGGCGGGGCGGGTACCTCCATACCCATGCCCCGCTCCATGCTACTACGGGTTGGGGCGGGTACGTGGCGGGGCGGGCGACCCACTATTTCATGTTATTTGAAAATAATACACGCAAAATTTCACTTTTTACGATAAAAGGAAGTGGAAAAGAATTCATGAATGAATAATAGTTATAATATAATAGGCAGTTGAGTCTATCTAGTTGAAAGATCAAGTCTAACTAGTTGAAGAAAAGTCAAAATAGGAGATGTATGAAAGGACGACGTAAGAAATTGAACTAGAACGGGTCAAGAACGGGGCGGGTCGGAGTTGATACCCATGCCCCGCCTCACGCTACTGCGGGTCGGGTAATACCCGTCCCATCGCGGGTCAGGTCAGGTATTACCCGACGAGGCAGGTTCAAATTACCATCTCTAATTTGTAGTCCTAAAGTAATAAAAAAAAATTACACTAATACAGTAATACTCTCACTTATATATACAGTGCACACATTTTATATACTAAAAAAAATTCAAATACACTCCAATTGAAGTGTGTCATCGGCCCACCATCTCCTTCTCCTGTCGCTGGGTCGGATCAAGATACCTACCGTACCCAATAATTTTTGGAAATACAGGAATTATCTGCTTACTATTATTGTAGTAATAGTAATTAAAGTAGGGATAAATCATTAAATCCTCATTAACCCTAAATTAATTATACATCAGTCGTTATCCTCCTTCAAGGCTCGTTTGTTTTCGTCGCTCGATCTCCATCTGCCCGGGAAGAAACCACAAACCCCCACCGCTCGGTCTTCTTCGTTTTCCCCATAACCACCAATCCATCATCTCTCGTTCATGAATCTGAATGGTATATAGAAGAACGCAAGAGGCAGCTGAAGCGAAGTCCGGTAACTGACAGACCGATCGGAACAAATAAATCGGAAATTGGACGGGCTACAACAATCTGGAAATTGAGGTTCGTCAACGACAATATGGCGTGGAGACGAAACAATGGCGGCAGTGGGTAGCTGAATTCAAAGCTAAACTGAGGTAAGGAGCTTTCCTCCTTTATATTTTATAATCGTGATGTTGATGTTGGCGATGTGTTGGGGGAGGGAATAAAATCCTGAACTTGGAATGAATCCATCATCTGTGTGGATGAAACTCTCAATTAATCATGGTGGGAAGGGTTTCATGTGGGGAGTTGATAAAGGTCGTCCTAACAATTATTAATGATCGTTCTAAAAAACAACAAAGTTACACTTTTAACCTTTTGATATCTTTACCTTTCCTTTAGCAAACAAACACCACATTCACTTAAAAAACAAAAAACACTCATTCTCCCACACTCTCTAATTCATCATCGACATTTGGAAGCCGAAATCGTCGAGCATACGTCCGAACAATGAGTAGCGACTCCGACGAGGTAAAAATCTCGTTTAAAAAAAAAAATCTCAACCGATTGTGATTTTCGGTTGGTCCATGGTCCAACCGAAATTCGGTTTCGGTTGAACCATGGACCAACCGAAAATCACATTCGGTTGAGCCATGGATGAACCGAAAATCTGCTTCGTTTGTGCCATGGGTGAAACGAAAATTGGTTTCGGTTGGTCCACGGTGGCACCGAACCTGTATTTCGGTTTGGCCATGGTGAAACCGAAAATTTGGTTAGGTTTAGCCATGGTTGAACCGAAAATTTGCTTCTATTGGTGGTTTTTGGGTTTTTTTAAGTTTATATCAAATATTTCTATTTTATTGTTATCATTTATAGTTTGGTCTATAAGATTGTTTATTGAATTTTAGTTTATATTATTTTTAAAATTTATGAGCCTAATTATTTGTGAAATTGATTGTTTTTTATACAAAATTAAGATTAGATGTATAATACGCAATAAAAAAATTATAGAATGTGATTAATATGATTCTTACATTAGATGTATAGTATGTAAATAATAGAGAATGCTAAATTTTGTCGTGTTAAATGTTGGATTTTGCTTAGGATAATATAGAGAATGCTAAATTATTTGTGATAATTATTAAATTAAATGTAGTCGTTAGATTTTCTATTATTGTGGAGTCCTACTTATATCATGAGATCTAACATTGTAGGATATTGATGATTACGGAGGGGATGGCAAAGATTACACCTCAGAATTCGTCAATGGAGTAAAATACGATACAGATTTGATTGCATATGCAGCAGCTACTGAGATTGCCAAGGGTTTTGGGTTTTATTTGGTGAAGGCATCAAATAAAAAAAATCCAAGTGAAGATAGTAGGCGACGATACTTGAAGTGCACTCATGGTAGGAAGAAAAATTCGAAGGCTCCTGATTCTGATCCGGCTAAGGAAAGGAGGCCTCTTACTTCTTCTGGAAAGTTGGGGTGTGAATTTCAGATCAAGATTGAGCGGTCAGATGATGGATATTGGTTGATACTAGCAGTGGCTAATAGAAAGAATCCTGGTGCTAATTTGGATTTTCACAATCATCCGCTGGAGCTATTTCCGAATGGATCAAGTAAGAGGAATGTTTTGACCAAAGATGTTAAGCAATACATCAGACAACTGAGATTAGCCGGTGTCGCCCCAAGGAATATCCACAAGGCAGTGAACGAGAGAAAAGGGGAGAATGGAAAGGTGAACAAAAGACAGATTTCTAACGCATTGTATAAGATAAGAAAAGAAGAGCTTGGTCAGAGGACGGCCTTACAGTACACTTTTCAAGATGCTCTGGAGAAGGGTTACTATGTGCAGTATGTGGATGACCGTAACGTGCTTACACACTTGTTCCTAGCCCACCCTGAGTCAATATTGATGTTGCGAGCTTGGCACCATGTCATTGTGATAGATGCAACATACAAGACCAACAAGTATGAGTTTCCATGGATTGAGATTGTTGGCATGACACCGGTGGGATTGAACTTTGTCACTGCATCTGCGCTAGTGTATGACGAGACAAAAGAGTCGTACCAGTGGCTTCTCACGCATCTGCAACATTTGCTTGGCCCTATCACTCCAGATGTATTTGTTAGTGACAAAGCAGGAGGATTGGTTGAGACCGTGGGGGTAATGTTTCCATCATCGACTCATATACAATGTCTTTGGCATGTAGACAGGAATGTGAGAGCACGGTGTCTAACGGAGGTGAGGAGGACGTCTCATTGTGGGATAGATGCAGCCCAACCGACAGTGGATCTGATCATGGCGTCTTGGAAAAGGATTGTATATGCCGGCAGTGAGGAAGGCATGAATAGAGCTTTAGACAGTTTCAGGCGTAGTTGGGGAGTACAGTATCCACGTCTTTGGAGGTACTTGTCAGATGAGTGGTTACCAAACAAGCACATGTGGGCAACATGTTATACAAACCAATGCGACATTTGGGTAATACAAGCTCAAATCGGGTTGAATCTGCTCATTCATCCTTCAAGAAGTGGCTTCAATCAGCAACTGGTGCAATCGACACGGTTAGTCTCTTAATAAATTTTCATTTATGTCTTCTTTAGAAGTTTTACTTAATCTAGTATCCTAATTTTCTTTCTTTGTTTGTAGGTTTATAAGAAGAACTATGATTACATTGAGGCTCAACATCTTCAAATCCAAAAGCTTCTAGAGGGTTCTAGATTAAAGAAGATGTTACTAGCTGACGGAAGACCATTTCGGGAGTTGATTTACTATTTTAGAAATGCAAAAGAAAAAAAGTCCAATCATCTGAAAATTCCAAAAGTTAGATCATCTCACGGGCAAAGACAAACTAGCAATTCCAAATAAAAATAAACAAACTAGCAATTCCAAATAAAAATAAAGTACAAGGATAACAATCTAGAAATGCCACACTCCACTAAGGAGTCTTTCCGACTAACTGTTCATACAACTCGCGAGCCTCACTCATCATATCGTAGTACTCAGATGCATGCTCCACATAGTGATCCTTGTCCTTCACCGCCAACACAGGACCAAGCTTCTCCACAATCTGCTTCCTCAACTGTAAATACACAAAATAATGCAGGAATGGGAAAAAAAGGATATTAACAATACATTAAAAATTGAACAATTATGACATAACTAACCTCATCGACTAGCACTGGCCGCTGTAGAGACACTCCACCAGAGTCCGGATTGATGATCCGTGGGTGCGATCGAGTCCGGTACCAGTCCATGTAATCCTCATCGGCCTCAGATGGATACTCGCACAAGTCAGAATCAATCGCTATGTGTAGAAAATGAGACGGCAAGTTGCCCCATAACTGATCCATGCTACCCTCCCAGAAAACGATGTAGGTGCTGCAAGAAGCTGGGCGGTACACATCCTTGGGAACCATCATCATACGGGGGATAGTCTGTCGGTACCCAAACTGTCGGCGACACCGTGCAGGATCATAACCCTCAGCAACATCAGCAAAGCGAATGACACCAGTATACAAAGAGCGTAGTACCTCCGTGCCAGCATCTCGCCCGTAAGGAGTCCAAGACACATCCTCCCCTGACATTTCATCCAACATCTGTCGATACCGTACCAAGCGCTGTCTAGCATCATCACCACCTGCAAAGCGGTGACACACCCACGAGGAAGCACGCGGAGCATCTGGAGCCTGGAGAATCTGGCTCGGACGGAAGAGTGGAAAGTACTCATATATCCACGCCTGAAGCAGAGTCAAACAACCACAAATACTCTTACTCCCCACTCGTGTGGCCATCCCTAGCTGTGTAGAGATAGGCGAGTGCAGCAGCTCCCCAGGCGTAACCGGCCACTCGTCGCTGGTCCTTCAGAAATACATTGATCGCAGGACGGAGGCGATCGCGATTCTTATCCACAAAAAGTGTGGATCCCAACAACACAAACAAGTAAGTCTGCACCTCCAAGTCCCTAATCTTCATTTCTCGTCCACGCACCAACAATCCCTCTGCGTGAATACCACCATTAAGGAACCACTTCGACTTCCACTTACCACCAACAGGACCATCCACCGGGACCCGAACTAGATCATGCATGTCTAACTTAAGAACATCTGGATCCGGATCGTCTCTCATCAGGTCCCCCTCAACTGGAATACGAAGAATGTGATGCACGTCGTGGAGAAGAATCGACATCTCTCCAAATGGCATATGGAAGGTGTTCGTGTCCGGCTGCCATCTCTCCACAAATGCCGTTATCAAAGATGTATCTAGATGCTGCATCATACAGCCTGCCAAGTGGGACAATCCTGTGCCCTCAACCACCTTCTGAGAACCCTCTGAACTCCACTCATACCTCCTCAAAGACTCCACAGTACCAGATCTATGACAACAATCCAACAACCCACGATCCTGTGCTGGGGAAGTCCACAGTGCAAAGGCAATGTGACCTCCAAAGCTAGGGATCACATCGGGAATCACAGGTCCACCTGAACACATCTGAGACTCTGATGTCAGACGCTACGACATGTCCCCCCTTACTCCCTTCTTCCTCTTCTTACCATCACCGTCTTCCTCACTACTACGTCTCGCAACGTAGCGTCCATCTAGCCCACGCTGTGGAAAGTGCGAAGAAGCTGTAGAAGATGTCCCAACTCGTCTCTTCATACCGATGCCTACATCAGATTCAGGTGGGGCATCCCCAACCTCATCAACAGCCACATCATCAACATCATCGTCGTCGTCGTCCATAGAAACTGAATCACTCCAATTAGCCTCCCACGGCGTCGCATCCTCGGGAGTAGGGGTGGAGGTAGTACCTCGACTAAGAGATAACTGTCCCATAGTAGGCCGACCGTCGGGACGCACTATTTCCGCCTTCTTCTTCTTCCCCTTAACCTTACGAGGATTTTTTTCTTCATTTTCTTTTCTACCGGTCGCTGTAAGTCTACAAGCACGACCTTCCATTCTTCCTTCCGTTTTTTCTTCCATTCTTTTCTTATTCATGTACGGTTTGCCTATTCCATGTCCAGACATCTTCAAAAAAAAAATAAGATTTACAATTAATGATAATCAAATGCATTAACATTTTCTGATAATTTTCTCTAATTTTTTTGTAATTTTTTGATAATTTATTAACATTAATTACAACTTTCTTAGTCTTTTTGTCTAATTTCAACTAATTTTTAATTTTCCCATTATTCTAATATTTTTGTAACATTAATTACAAATTTATAGATTATATTTCTAAATTTTGATACTTTTTATAAATTTCAGATAATTTTTAATAATTTTTATTACATTATTCACAATATTTTTTTCATAATTGAATTCATAAAAATATTCGAATTTAATTTTTATAATAAATTATAAACCGTACAACTTATTTATAATTAACTACAATTATTTCTAATTATTACATAATTTACAATATTTAATAACAATTTTTATTAATTAATTGAATTAAAATTATTTAAAAACAACCAAACCAAATGTTGACTTCGGTTTGACCATGGTTAAATCGAAAATTGACTTCGGTTTGACCATGGTCAAACCGAAGTCAACATTCGGTTGAGCCATGGTCAAACCGAAGTCAACATTCGGTTGAGCCATGGTCAAACCGAAGTCAACATTCGGTTTGACCATGGCTCAACCGAATGTTGACTTCGGTTTGACCATGGCTCAACCGAAGACTTCGGTCGGTGACGGCGAGTGCGAGAAGCTTACCTTCTTCTCCGGCGAGCACGGACGGCAGGCGAGAGGAGGGCTGACGGCGACGGCTGGGCGACGGCGAGTGCGTGGCGGCGTGGGACGGCAGGCCACTGGAGGAGGGCTGCGACGGCGGACGAGGACTGACGGCGACGGGGGAAGGGCGAGGTGGGCCGGCGGGTGACTGACGGCGACGACCCGCCCGTGGTCTCTCTGCGGCTGGGCGATGGTCAAACCGGCGGCGGGTGACTGACGGGGGAGGTCGGCGGCTGTTGGTGGACGGGGAAGGGAAGTGGAGGAAGGGGAAGTATGCGAAGTGGAGGAAGGGGAGTGTTTGGCTAGGGTTTGTGTTTTAATTTTAAAAAGGGTAATTAAGTAATTTACGTATTAAGTTAGGACGACAATTAGTAATTTTTAGGACGACCTTTAACCCTTCAGTTCATGTGCTGGCGGAGCTAGGTGAAGGGTTGTGGGGTCCATGGACCTCACTTGGAAAATGAATTTACATTAAAAATAGTAGATTTTTAAGGTGGGGTTAATAAATTTAGAATCCCGGACTCCCTCTTCCCGAGACAATGATTTTAGTACTATCGAGACAAACTTCGTATTTGGTTATGTTTGGACCCCACTAAATTATATCTCTGGCTACGCCATGTGCATGGACAAACCAGTCAAAATTCCGATTAAAATCTTATGATTTTACGACCTTACTTACCTGTTCCGATCTTGATTTCACCATAAAATCTATGGACCTTAAAATCCTATACTATTCACGATTTAAATTCTTAATTTTTTTTTTTGAATCTTACGATTTTACTATTCAAATCTTAGTGTCAATTTTACTTGTTTTATCCGGCTTTGGATAGTGAGCGTTGTTTCCATCCTTGCAACTTCTTGATGAGCTTCTCCTCCATAAAGAGGAAAGTATCTCTCTTCGATCTTGATAGGATAGCTGCTAATCCTAAATTGGTTTTAGAGCTCGTCTACCATACCTTCAATTGGAAAATTGGATAAATCGATTCCTATCATACCTTGTGAGTGAAAAAGATCTTCGTAAAACTCCACAACAATAGCTAATTTCTCATGTTCCGCAATACACATACTCCTTGGGGGGTTTTCCAATCCACATATTGTAGTGGCTTGTCGTCGGGATTTGGTGATATATCAAAGTATGTCGTATTCTTATCCCCAGCTTGTAACTAATTGAATCTGGAATTTTGTGTCAAAATAATTCTTCTCGATTGTACTGAGCTCCTTTTCCAAAGATCTGTTTAAGGCCCCATTCACCTATGGACTGGACCCAGCCACCTCTAAATCTTCATTTAGATCATTTATAAATCTAGCTGAGTTAGAGGTACCTTCTTTGGACCAACCAACCAGGGTGTGTCTAGTACGCAGAAGTTTGCTGAATATGCAGTACAGTAGTGAACCTGAGACTGCTAAGTTCCATGCAAATGAGATAATGAGTAAGGCTTCTGGCATTTGGGCCTATCTAAGGTAGAAACGAAAGAGGTGTATTGCTCTAGTCATATTGGGGCATGTCTGAAAGTAGAGTAACTTGTGAACTATGATCCGAGCCTCTATCAGTGAGATGATATACACTGGAGAATCGGATAAAGCTTATTATACTCTATTTTTTCATAACAAATACAAGATATAAGTCATGGGTGAAAGCTATGGAAGTCGTAAAAGAGAGTGCAAAAGATCTTGGGTTCTTTTTGACACATGCATCAATCAAAGCAAACGATAGCGAATGGTTCCCAGATATATCTTCATTGTTATCGTGGATATAAGAGAAATGTATATGTCTTATATCCGCATAAGAAAATACTATGCAACACAGTCATTTAAAGATGGGTGTCGTTGTTAAGTGAGGTTGGTGGCACTTTAGCAGGATAATACTTGGATGATTGGGGGTATCAAGGACAATCAAAATCTAGAACAATTATGTGGGCTTCACAACCATGCATTGGAGCTTTATCCATAAGGCCACACCCAGAGCAATGCTTTCACAGATGAAGCGCTAAACGATATCAAGGAGATGGGACGAGCTTATGTTCCTCCCCGACGAATGATGCAAACTATTAACCAAAAGTAGAGCACTCACCACAATAACCAACAGTTTACAATGCAATGTGGAGATAAGGATTGAGAGATTGTGTGACGAGACCCATATGGATTGTACGTTTCACCATGCCAAAGAGATGGGGAACTACATTGGTTGTATGCATGATGATGATCGCCACATTACTCACATTTTTCTCGCTCACCCTGAGTCTGTACTAATGTTGAGTACTTCGTACCATGTTATCCAGATTGATTCCACGTACAAGACAAACAAGTACAAGAGCCCCCTTATTAAGGTTGTTGGTGTTACTAGGGGTGAACAAACACACCCGCAAACCGACCTACCCGTCCAACCCGACCCAACCCACCCGTATTTGTCGCTAAATCGAAGGTTTTGGGTTGGGTGAGGGTTTTCTTTTGTACAACCCGCCTCATTTGGGTTGGGTTTGGATTTTAGATTACACAACCCGTAGAACCCGACCCAACCCGTGTTCCAATTATTGGTATGAGTTCGTATCCAAAAAAATATTTATGTCGTATATAGTCATACTTATGAGAAAATTAAGATATTTCGCCATGTTTTTCTATTAAAGTCTCACTAATCTAATGCATTCTTCGACTTAAAATTTAGACATATATTTAATATAGCTATGATTCACGTATTTTTTTTTCTTGTGTACAATTTTAAAAGAATATCATATTATGGATGCGTTCATTTGTAACCTTTTTAGCCTATTTCAACAAATGGCATGAAAAAAACTAGACATAAGTTGAAGTAAATCAAGTTTTATTAAAATTCAAACAATATTTGTGAATTTTGATACCTTTCACCTCGGTTTATTCGTTTGAATTTTTAATTTTTTATAAAATATTTTTATGATGTAGAATAATTACATATTTTGTGTTGGGTTGGGTTTTTACTTAAAAATATCGCCAACCCGACCCAACCCAATTAGAAACAAACCGTAGGGTTTATATTTTTTTGGGTGGGTTTGGGTTTAATATTTCCCAAACCGTAGTGCATGGGTCGGGTGATTAAAATGCCTAAACCCGGACCACCCGGCCCATGTACAACCCTAGGTGTTACCCCGCCAAGAGAAACTTCAGCATTGGGTTTGCTGTCTATTTATAGTGGTAATTCTGGTTTTTGTATTATTATGGAAGGTGGTCCCAAAGTGGAGCTAACTATATCGTTTGTGTGCTACCATATGAGGAAGTTGTAGCCATGTTTGGCTACACCAATGTTCAAGACCTCAATATGATAAAGTTTAGTATGAATAATATGGTAAGTAGATCACACCGAACTCCCACCGATTTGGTTAAAAGACTTTCATTGTTGAATACAACTTGTATTTCAATTTTCTCATCCATTCGCTTCTTTATGTTTTAGGGAATATATATAATGACAGGAAAGACATTGAAATTTCAACTTAAGCTCACTTTTCATTCAGTGTTGTTCATTTCACTGTCAATAATGTAATTGCGGAGCTGGAAGTTAGCTTTCCCTCTGCCAACCTTAGATGCATTGTTGGTGATGTGGTTAAGGGAGCAGATATTGATTGGGACACAAACTTCATCCCCATTCTCAGCTTCATGCATTTCAAGTATCACTTATTTGTGATCGAAGTTGGTGCGTGGAACCACATGGTAACTCATTGTGATTTGGTTTTGTTCAAGATGTTTACTGCTACCTTTTAAGGCTGGAGTTCTTATAATGGATTCCTGGGCTGTGTTCTTAAATGTCCACCACACTCAAACATTCAATAGGAAGTGGTGGCTAGGCATTGCACTTCTTTTAGCTCTAATTCTATTTCCACCAGACTTTTTTTAAGGTTATTTGTTGGGAACAGATTGTTGAACCTTTGACTTTGAGTTTCATGGGTTGATTTTAAATCAGTCAGTGTGTAAGAGCTTAGCTTTAACTGACTTCTGCAGCTTTATTACCAATGTACAAACGTTTATTTATTTTCCTCGGTTTCCTTTTGTCTTATAGCTTGGTTATTAAGCAGGTAGGGTGTAAGAGCTTATGTCTACCTGGAAACATTTTCATTCAGCTTTATTGAAAATATAAAAACATTTATGTAGCTGGAAGTTTAGTTACATTTCCATCACATGTCCAACTCTCATTAAGACACGTATAGCCAACTTACTTTGAGATTTCCATTATGATATTTTTTTTCACTCATTTTTATTTATTTTGGAGGTCACTTTTATTCATCCCAGACAAGATGGACTAGTGGAATTTTTTTTTTATACATAGAACAATGAAATGGTTATATTCCCAACTCCCTTAGTCAACTTTATTGGTCAACCCACCATGTTGTTCAAACTTGGTCCTGTTTGAAAACAAGATTGTCTTCTTGCCTCTACCCATAAACATTCACATTTTTATTTTCTAACCTGCGAAATGTAGTATTCAAAGGAAGTTCCATTTGTGAAAAATGTAAACATACGTTGAGTTATATTTTGTTTATTAACTTTACACTGTACTGCCATGGAATTATCAACACGTGTGAACATACGGGATTATCTAAATGTACGAGCATACGGATTGACGTATTTGTCATAAGAAAATAGATATTATCAACTATGTCGAATAACTTTCGTCACCTAAGTTGCGATACACGCTAATCATTTAATCCAACAATGTATGAAGATCTTATCCATATAGTATCAATTCGTTGCTTTTTTTTCTCTTATTACACAACCTTTATATAAACGATCGTCCATTGTTTCTCGCTTTCAAATACACATTCTAAAAAGGGTTTGTTTTGGAACCTAAGTTTCTGTTTTTTTAAGTAGTTCTTAATTGACATTCCTTCCCCTTTCCATTCTATTTGCCAGTTTTCTAGGCATCAATTTCCCCACTCCTCCACAGCGTCGGCAATGTCCCCCATGGTTAATACCCAAAATCGACGCACAGCCTCATCCGCAATACAAACGACGACGTGGGGGTTTGTAAGTTCAAATCATGCGATTATGCAGTAGAGTTAGGGATGGCAATTTTGACCTGACCCGTTTTACCCGACCTGTTTTGGGGCGGGTCCGACCTGCCCTGTAGTCGGGGCGGGCATGGGTACCTCTCGTCGACCCGACCTACCCTGGCCCGTCCCATTCTTGACCCGTTCTTGCCTAAATCACATGTAATCTTAGTCAAATTACTTAGAATTTTCCTCATATTATCTCATATTTTAGCTGTAATAAAATTGTAAATAAGTGAAAACCTCAATTTCTCCAATACTTTAACTACATGTTATCATATTATGATTTATTTCTTGGTCTTTTAATAAAAATAATGAATATTTTTAAATTTTTTCACATAAATTGCATACCGATTGGGTCGACCTGCCCCGACCCGCACCCCATGATAAATTATCCGACCTGAACCTGACCTGCCACGGGGCGGATATGGGTATCGAGATACCCGGCCCGAACCTGCCCCATTGCCATTCCTAAGTAGAGTCTTCAGAATACCTCTCTTTTCATTTCCCTGCCCTAATAATATAACCAACCCACTCAGTTTTTTTCCATCGGCCGAAGGAGAATGCCTCCTCTCAATATTGCTAACTTTGTACTGATCAAAAGGATTGTGAACTATGTTGTCGTGTCTCAAGGAAATGGATTGGTTACAATTCCAAAAACGATTCGATCATTTATTTGGAATTCGTTTTTATAGATGTTGAGGTAATTCTATGGTATAATCTCATTTCGCTTTGTACTCTTCCACTTCCTCGGATGTTGAGATTTTTTTAATGGCTTAGTAGGATAATGGTATATGGGCTCGTGTCTCTAAAGATAAGATGAAGGAACTTCAAGACCGAGTCCAAGAGTAAAGGTTCTATGAGTTCTCTAACTTTTCAGTGAAGCTGACACAGAAGAACTACCGTCCAGTTGGTAATCGACTCATGATTGAGTTCACTAGCAATACCACTGTTCGTCTAATTGACGACATTCCAGGAACCCCTGCGTATAAGTTTAGATTTTTTGCAAACGCCAGACCTTCCGAACCATACTGTTCGCATTCACCATGGTTGACATACCTTAATTTAACTAGTAAGTTGTGCTTATGCAACCAGCCCATAACATCCGCTTCTTTTTCCTACTAACTGTCAATACTAAGACTGACTCCAACACTAGAGCTAAAAAGCCATTTACCCATTTTTAGCTCTTTTTTGGTGCTCCAACCCACATTATTTTGGGGAGCTAAAAATGGGTATTGGTGATTTGGGAGCCAAATTTAGCTCCCAAAAAGAAGAAAGGTCAAATTTGGCTAGAGAAAATGGTGGACCCGCGGCGGGTCCTCCTTTATTTTTTATTTTTTATTTGTTTCTGCGGAATTTTCTCATTGGTTGATTGTGTTGTTTTCCTTTTTTCTTTTTTTGTGTGGTATTTTGTCATTGGTTGATTGTGTATGTTGTTTGTGTAATTGTTTGAAAGAAGATATGAATTGTTGTATGTTTAATTGGTATTTTCTCATTGGTCCCGAAGTTAACGGTAACAAAATAATGAATAATTTTCTGAAATATTTTTTGTCTCGGAATTTAAAAAAAATTACATCGATTTTTTTTTCCAAAAGTAATAACTAACTATAGAATAATTAAAGTGAAATATGAAAATTAGAGGTCAAATAAGTATGGTTTATTGTAATAAATTTAAACAGGGAGATGAGAAGCGAAATATAGCTTTGTGTAGGGTTGGAGTGAAAATGGGATTTGGGGAGCTAAAAAGCCATATTCGGCTATTTGGGGAGCCAAATTTAACTTTACGGGTTGAAGTTAATCTAACCGTTCAAAATACACCAGCACCGTGGTTTCGTTGCAAATCTGCAATATAAGGATGTTGATATGTGTGAGCGTACTGATCACACAACTTATTTTGTTGCAATTGGACGGGGAAAATCAGGTTACTAAATCAAGAAGTTTCGTATTGAGGATGACATTACAGATGTTGAGGTCGTTTTCCCATCATACTACTTACGAAAGACAACATATTTGCTTATTCTGAACTTGTTCTGGAGTAACTATTCTTGCCTTTAGAGAATTGAATACCGTGTCACCAACAACAACACGATCCATTAAATTTTTCCATGCACACCACACCATCTTATTGGATTTGCAAATAGCAGGATTTTTGTAAGTATTTTATGCTCTTTAACTATTTCTCTAATGGATCCTCCTTCAGTTTACAATAGGTGTGGTTGCTTTAGTAATGTGAATGGTTAGAGAGTTCTCCTAATTTTTATGACTTTTTTTTTTAATCATCGTCAATGTTGTTTCAAATTAGTTCTTTTTGTTCAATGGATTGCAAATAGCATAACACCATATTGCTCAAACAATATACAGCCACTAACCGAATTATAAGAAAGGAAATGCAAAACCTCCATCCCGAGTTTGAGGATTTTGAAAAAAAGGAACGGAAAGATTTTTGTCAAATTTATCTCAAACCGTCCCACCATTGCCATCCATTATTGAAATCCTACTTCTGGTATCTCAAACCCAGTCGAGTAATCAAAACTCAATGAAACAACATTATTAAATTGATCCATAAAAATATTTGGTGTTAGAAGAATAAAATCAAAAAGCTTAATCTAAGTTCCAAGCTAATCTAGAACAGGGCAGAAACAATTCAGTTTTCCAGGTATGGAATGTGATCCAGCCATGTGCCCAGTATCATCACAGGAAAGATGACACGAGCGAGTTAAGCTGGAGACTTTCGTTTCGCAAACGAAGAAATTGCCTCAAAACATCTGGACCGATAAAAACCCAGTTCTGGGACAGAGTGCGTTTGCGGGGACGATGCAATTTTGCACCGCAGATTCAAATCCAACATTCCAAGCAAAACAAAATAAAAAATTTGACAGGAGAAAATGGAGGGGGATTTGCCAGTAGATTAAGGGCCTGAAAAATCAGCGGAGAAATCAGATTCAGGCGAGTGATACTGGCTAGGTGTTTCCTATCGCAAGCTTTGTAAATGAAATTGACTTGGATCGTATCGACGATTCGAAATCCAGTCAAGAAGCTGAGCTTGCTTTTCTCTTCCTCCATCTACACAATCGTACAGAAACAGAGCGAATTGAAAACCTAAATCGAAAAGCCTCAAAACAACAGATGATATACAACGGAAGGAGGGATGTTTGCTCACTGAAAGTTGGAGAAGGCGAGGAATGGAACGCAGTATTTAAAGCAGGACGGCCAGATTAGGGATTAGGGTTTTCTTTTTAGAGACCACAGGAGGTGCCATGTTTTCACAGGCCTGGGCGGCTAAAATATTTTGTTGGGCCTTGATAACTGCGGGCCAAGTCCAGGGAAGGGCCCAAACGCACGGAGAAAATTGCCCCAATAAGAGTCACTAGCAGTAGCAACTAGCAACCAAATTAACATGTGTTAAGTTGTTCAGGTTGTTTTTTTGGGGTGCCATAGTTTATATTTTTTTGGGTTCGATGATTTGTGTTTCATTGTTACAGAGTGGCTCATTTGGTGGCTACTCAGACTTTGTTCTTGTCGCCTCATTTGTTTCTTTGTTTCACAATAGGCATGATCTGTTGTAAGGCTACGGATCTTTGCTTGTGTGACATATTTTAAAATAATTTTATTAATTTACGTAGGTATGTTACCAAATTATAGATTCTCATCTTCAAACTATGTCACACCAATTGATTTTGATAGGCTCAACCCGATGTTGACTTTTTTCAGAAACCATCCAACCAGAGCATATTCCAACAATAGACATGATAAGTTTTCTATCAGACTAAAGTGAATCGGTCGACCGAATAGTGGTTTTGACAACTTTGCTAGAAACAACAATGAGAATCAGTTGAGCGCCCAATGAACATAATATAGTCGGTGTCTGCAATTCGTAATCCGCATGCTGAGTGCTCAATAGAGGAAAAGTACTTTGCAACAAATGCAATGACAACGACCCGTAGGAATTAAGGAAGAATGTCGAATAAGTGCTACAAATCAAGAGCTTCTCTTTTCTTTATAAACATGGAAAAGTAGTCAAAATCGGGATTTTATCTAAAATCAAAAATTGAGGTAAAATCGGAATCGTAAAATCATAGGATTTTAAGTTCAATATATAAACTAACATAAATCATATTAATAAGATAAATCATTAATAACACAAAGAAATATAACATTTAAAATGATAATTCTCAAGATTAATGTTTCAACATCATCATTTTAATTGTTATTTAATGCGTAACTCAAAATAATTCACGAGGAAAGGAGAGAGCTCAGGGAGCTTGGCTCTTGTTTTTCATGTTGTGTCTAGGTAGTTAACTCAAATCAGTACTTCGTCCCGGTTAATTTCAACATCTTTTTTTTTTTTTTTTTTTTGCATAATAGGAGGCTGGCCGCCAAGAAAAAAGGGGGTTACAGGTGAGAGGCTGAAAGAGAAGAGGTGGTGGCGGGTGGCACAATCCGCCTTTGGAAAGTAACTCCCTGCACATCATCCCGCAGAAAGGGGATCAAACCCGAAGGTGGATGCACAAACTCATGTACACCGTAGGGATAGACGAGACTGTGCTTCGAGAGCCAATCCGCGACTCTATTCCCTTCGCGGTATACATGAGAGATGCGCACCAACCAGTCTCTACTAATTCTTCTGCGAATAGAGGAAAGCAGAGTAGCATAGGGGTGAACTGCATCCTGCCTGTCGTGAATCAAATGAATAGCAAGCTGGGAATCCGATTCAATCATAACCGTCCGGCATCCCGCCTTCCAGGCTAGCTCCAGACCATAGTAGAAGGCCCAAAGCTCCGCCAAGACCGCTGATGCCTCTCCTATCTTGGCCACAAAACCAGAGATCCATTGCCCAGCCTCGTCCCTCAACACACCACCAGCCCCTGCCAACCCGGGGTTGCCATTCGAAGCTCCATCGAGATTAAGCTTCATCCATCCTCTCGACGGAGGAGTCCAAGAGATGTCCACCATCACCCTGCTATTCGGACCACCCCTTGAGGTAGGCAGCAACGTCGGGGCTGTCCAGGCAGAGTGCCAAAGTTTGGCCTTCGCCACAATAGCGTGAGCTAGAGATGGGGGAGTGAGGGTGGAGGAGATGCCTTTGAAGCAAAAGTCGTTCCTGTTCTTCCAAATGATCCAAGCGGCAATGCTGAAGAAAGTCGGCCACGGCACTCCCTGATACTCAGTCTCTTCCTCGGTTAGGTTGGCCCAAAGCCAATCCTCACCTGCAGCAGTAAAGAAACGTTGCTGCTTGTTGTGGGGAACAAACCTAGTCCAAGCAAAGCTCGCGGGAGGGCAATCCCTCAGGATGTGGATAATGGACTCCACCTGTCCATTACATCGGGCGCAGGCCGGAGAGGCAGTAAGCTTCCTAGAGAAACGGAGCGCATTGGTCGCGAGCCTCCCCAAAGAAGTAAGCCATATGAAGCACCGAATACGCTCAAGAACGGGTAGGCTCCAAATTAGCTTCCAAGTCTTGTCATCTCCATTCGCAGTAGGCGGCAGTAGCGACTCATAGGCAGTCTTAGTAGAACCACACGAAACACAAGAAAACATGAAAAATTCTCTAGTAGCCTTGTCCAGACTCGAGAGGCGATAATATAGAACTAAATAACAACATTTATTTACCTGGTTGAGATAAGAGAAATTCTCATGAGTGAAAGTGATAGAGATCGAGTGCGAGAATCTTCCGGACCACTTGGGAAAGGGAGAGAAGTGGTAGTACAAAGAAAAAGAGGAAGACAAAGTTTTTTGTATGTATTTTTTTTTTTGTCGATACTAGATTGAGTAGTGGAGACTAGAGTGTGAGAAAGAAAAAAAAAGTCAACTTCTCCCTAATATATATTTCGTGGTTAGTTACAATCACTAAATTTTTTGATTCACTGGGATATTGGTCACTACACTTTTTATTTTCAAGGATATCGGGGATGATCGGAGGGACGGAGAAAGGTGAAGTTTTGTTGAACATGGTCTTATTGGTTGAGATCGTATTAGACCACATCATATATAGGAATAGTTTGATCTATACCGTATAGTATATTGTATGGTCCATGATTTGTGTTTTAATATCTAGACATGGACTTCGAACGTATATATGGTTCGATCTGGTCCAGACCACATAGTTTCTCACTCATAGTCATGAGTGTTGAAAGCAAATTGAGCTCCTTGCCAACCCAACAATTACATAAAATGGCCTATATTAGAATGCAACCTAAAATGCAGTGCGACTTTAGCTATTTATACAATTTGGTTTGGCCGCATCGATTAGATTGCGATCAAAGATGTGTTGCGGTCTAATTAGTATGCAATATAAGACAATTTGTGTAAATGCGACGGGGTTCGACATTTGCACACGTCTATTAGAGGTGACAATTCTCATTCCAATCCACCAATCCAGTCGACTAATCCAATACATTTAGGGGTCGTTTGGAAGTTGCGATTGTTAAATAGATGTATTGTTGAGAATGCATGTATAATATTATACATGTATTGTCGAATTTGATGCATTGTAGAATACAACGTTTGGTATGTGTGATTGTGTATGTCGCATCAGCTAAAAACTGAGACAAAACAATCTCAACTCAACTATCTCAACAATCACAACTAAAAGTTGAGATATAACAATCACTCAAAATGAGTGATAGTTTCTGTCACATCATAGAAACAATCCATGTATTGTTTCTCCTAAAAAAACAAAAAAACAAAAAAACGATGCATTGTAAACAATACATGCATAATGACAATCTCAACAAAACAATCACAACTTCCAAACGACCCCTTAAACCCAATCCATTTGGATTGGTGAATTTTTGGATTGGATTCATGAATCATTGGTAAATTACAGTTTAGTACCCGTACTTTTTTTTTTACATTTTGGTACCTAAAATTGAAATTTTTATACAAAAAATATCATTTGAAAATTACATTTTGGTACCTAATTTTTTTATTAGGACATTTCAGTACCTAAACTTTTCACATTTTACATATTGATCTAAGATTGAGGACGGTATTTGGATTCATAAATAATTCACCAATTCACTTAATCCAATCCATGAATCAAGCAAACCATTCGATCCACAGATCCAACAATCCATCTGCCACCTCTCCTCTCCTCTCTTCTAAGATAAGTTCCTCTCGCTATACTTATCATCCATGTTTATCGTCAGAGTACAACAGAGTTGAAATTTGAAAAGTTGAGCTTCCCTTAATCCCTCCCTTGCAAGTTGCAAGTTAACCCGAAGTCTTAATAACCCAGCCTCAACCAAAGCGCCTGCAATAGTTCATCTTGGCAGTAAGGCATATACTTAATATTTCTGCTGTATTTCTTCAAATGTAAAAGAGGTTGAGTTATGAGCTCCCAAGCAATTCAAGCTGCACAGCTCCCTGCCCTCTGCTAAATAGCATGATAATGGATCTCATACTGTACTAGCATTTTGATCTTCATATTGGGATAAAGTAAACTAGTTGCTCTTTCTACTTAGCTATATAAATCATTGATCATAACACTGTAAAGTAAACCCTAGCACCTTTAAAGCCTCAGACTGTTATCGCGCTTCTCTCCCAGAAGCATGAAAGAGATTCAAACAACGAATCATCTCGACATCCTTCTTAATGGACCAACCATAAGGCAAAAACTAATGAAATTCCCAGAAGACAATGTCTGCATTTGCATAGCCAGGATTCTTGTTAGACGTCTAAGAAACTTCTAATTTGCAAAAGCATTAGACGCGCCAAAGTCAGAAAGCCTGGATCGATTCAGTAAAATCTGATTGTTAGATGAAATGTAAAATGCTAATAGGAGACTAAAGCCTCGATGTAAACAATCTATATGGTCACATGACAGGACAATGAACAAATGGTTGGATAGCAACCCGTGTAAGCTCCAAGCACTCTCAAATTGATGACTCGCATCCTGCTGCAAGTTCCCCAGCCCCGTAAACAGAAGCGGGCAACCCGTGGAATTTCTTTTCACATTGAAAAGAAACTTTCACGATATAATTAAGGGGATTTGCCTAGAACATAAAACTCCCAAGCCTAACATTTCCTAATGGAATGTTATATATCTAGTTCAGTAGCTTCGACACAAGCAGTTGTTCTTCCTAAAGTCACTCGAGAACTATCTCTGCAAACAAGCTCTCACTGTTTCCTCCAGGCAGAATATACAACTACAGAGTGAAAGCACCAACAAAGCAAAATGCAATAATAACCAGAAGATACATAATCCAATTGAACAAGTAGTGCCGGATTGAAGGGCAACCTCAAAATACATATACCAACATGAAAACAAACGCGACAGACGATATCAAATTGTGCCCACATTATTAAGCATTTCAATTTTCTTGACCAAAGGAAAGAACCAATATCCCTAAAATTTTCCCTTCCTTACGGAGTGTCCCAGGGCTTAGGTTCAGGGACGGCAACAACCATACCTTGGAGTTCAGGGGTAATGACGACCTGGCATCCCAACCTGGAGTGGAGGTTGGCAACCCTAGCCCTGGAGTTCCTCTCCAGCACGTACTCCTCGTCGTAGGATCTGGGAGGGAGCTTCTGGAGCCACTCCTGGGCGATGTTGACCTCGCACTCGGCGGAGCAGGCGTCGATCTCCTCGAGGCGGTGGGAGGCTGGGTCGATCAGGCCATGGTTGGTCAGGGCTTTGAGCAGAGTCTGCCCGCTTAGCCCCACGATCTCGCGCTTCTGTCCCTCCGGGTCGATCGCGAAGAGCTTGACGATCCTGTCGGAGACTCTGGCGGAGGAGGTGCGGGGCGCTGAGGAGGCCACGGCGGTCGTGGAAGAGCGGACGACGATGGATTTGGTGAAGGGAGAGATGGAAGGGAGCCGGTGGATTTGGGAGGAGAGCCTCCGAAGCGTCGATGTCGCCATTTCTCTGTCTTGCCGATTTTTCTCTTGGCGAGGGCGATGATGGTGGTGGCAGCCTTTCAGCGTTCCTCAAATCAAATGTTAAGCCTGGCGAAGAGACTCTAAAGTCTAAACTCTCCGTTTTGGGCTCCATTTTCTGGACGGTAGAGTAGAGGACCAATGCCACGGCCCACGAGCAGGTTGCTATCAGGCCCATCCATTTTTTGCTGGAAAGGGAGGAGAGAGGGATAACACTCATATTGTATCACTAGGATGCTAATCGGGTTGATTAGTAGTTAACTAATGGTTAGCAGTTAATTAACTATTATTAAGCTTAAAATGTTTATTGATAACTTATAGCACCTAGTTAATGCATATTTGAAACATTATTTCTTAGATGTTTTTTTGTATCAAGTTTATCATATTTGACCCATATTAGGCTACGCTTAATTTTATGCTTAGATTTTCTAGTCTTTAGCACGATTAGAAGTGAATTAGGTTCAATTTGAGATTCGGGAGCTTAATTTTATCATTTTTAGATCACGTGCATTATCTTCAATGTCACAAAAGTGGGCTTGACATGCTACTTCCCAGTGAGTATAGATTAGAGAGCTAGAAAATATTTTGGATAGGAGAAGGGTTGAGACTTGAGATACTACGTAGTTATTTTAAGATATGTTACATCATGTTACCTTTACAGATGAGGAGCTTATGCATGCAACGTTACCTCGTTGCGCTAGCTAAGTAAAGGATGGGGTCCACTACAAGATAAAATGTGTAAAACACCAATTTTCAAGTCAGTGAGGAAATCACACAAGTAATAGCATAACTTCTTCTGAAGATAAATAACAGGAAACCTCTTTTCAAGTTAACGAATCTTTTGATATGAGCATTGCACGTATATATGAAGGATGAAATTAGAATTAGAACAGATCTCTAGCGCCCATGCAAGAGTTGTAGGAGGAACATTAGTACACTTAGGAATTCAATAGTATATCATGAAGATCTGCGATCTCTAGAGGACTTCAACACATTATTTTATCAAGTTCGGTACTTGGTGAAATTTGAAACTTGGTGCCATTTTATGAAATATATTTACTATTTGGTTATGTTGATCTTTTCCATTTTCTTGTTTAAAATTTGTTCAATATAAGACGTTTCAGCTTTTATTCAATGTATTTAATGTACATTCATCATCAAAGGCATTTTGGTACTTGCTTCAGCCGCAAGGCTTCTTTTCTTCAGGGAAACCAGCTAGCTGGCTCAATGTCCTCAGCTTTTCTGCCACAGCTTGTCCTGGTTCCTGACGCCACTGATGGTGGAGCGAAAAAAACACGACAGAAAAGCAACGGAGGTAACAGTTAACAAATACTACACGATCAATTCGACACAACTACCTCCCAAGTACGAAGAGAAACATGTCGAAAGTTAGAAGCTTATATACCAAGGGGGAAGGCACATGATATGGGAACTTCAAGTAGAAACATTAACACAGGAGTAGAGAGCAAGTAAAGCCTCACTCACAAACAAGCAATGAATAAGATGTTTGCCCCAAAGCCCAAGCTACGAACATTATATGGTTTGTTTCTCTGCAGCAAGTCCACAAAACACAGTGACACAGACGAGACAGCTTGTCGAGGTCTACGAGAGGGGTTTTAAAGTTCGTGAGAAACAACATTGAAAAAAAAGGAGGGGCAACCAGGTGAGAAGAACATGGAAGAGTTACAAACCCAGGGTTCTCAGTCAAGCCCTCAAGGCTGCGGGAGAGTTGGTTGCAGAACTCGACCTGTTTCGCGTGTTTGTCGTTGCATCAAGCATTGTGTTAAGGGGGAAGTAGTGATTACTCAGAACCAGGGGCAATCAGGTCCTGGGAAATCAGCATCAGTGCAACTTTACAGCAGCACCAAAGTTGATCCAAGTATGTACTAGTTAATTGGTCTCTCTTTTATCCTTACGGTTTTTGCAACTATTTTGCAAAGTTCTTGACTCTCTCAACAGGCACAGGGGAAGGGAAGCTGAGCCGAAGAGCTTACCTGAGACATGGAAAGAGCAAGAAGAAGGACGGCGTAAAAACGACCGTATACAAGATGAAGTTGTGGGTGGAGGCAGATTTTGGAACTCCAGGAGCACTCCTCATTGCCAACCGTCACAAGCATAAGTTCTTTCTCGAGTCTGTTAACGTTGAAATTCCAAATCAGCATATTCATTTCGACTGCAGCTCTTGGGTATATCCTGTGGACAAGACAAAATCAGAGCGTCTTTTCTTCTCAAACACTGTAAGTTAGAACAATTGTTCCTAAATTCATATTATATTACACTAACTGATGGAGACCTGTATCTTGATCACCTGAGCCTGAGAGAAATGGTTGCTAACTTACGAGTTAGTAAGAACACATCCTGAGGAAGACAACAAAAATAGGTTTAAGTTTCTTAACTCCACTGAATAACCAAACTTAACCACCGAAACCCCCTAACAGTGAAACTAATGCAACCCACCCGTCTCCCTGGAAACCCTTCTGCATCCCCTTCACGCTTTCCTAATCCGAATCCTAAACCAATTCAATTGTTTGAACTTCGATAATAATAGTAATAATGATAATAATACTCACCATTCCAGTGATTCCACCCCTTTGAAATCAATCTTGTGTCCGGGGTTGGACATTGTGGTCTTCGTCTTGTTCGAATTTGCCAATCATCAACAATAGGGCGTTGGACGAGGTGGAAGCACAAACCACACTTGCTACGACGCTGCATCTCCTTACAGTGTGGTACTCCGCAGCTGAGCATCCATACCATAACCATAGCCAGCCTAATTATATCCTTCAATGTTTGCGGATTTCATTAGCAATTTCCGCCCTCAGTCCAGCCATGAAAGATTCCCATAAGCGCCTGTTCCGTCCAAACTATGCAACGAGCGGAATTTACACAAAACTTCTCCTGCACGGCAAAGCACTCTCGTGGAGATCATTGATAGACGTGTGTAGCTCATGCACCGCCTGCCAAGTTAAGCATGACTCGGGATACCGATTGATGAAGTAGACCTGGCTGGAACTATATCACCTAAACCTGAAAAGCGAGAACGAACCGAAGTTATCTCTACTACTAGAGGCTAATGCAAGCTATACCTTCCCCTACAACCCTTCGGCCACCCCTTTCCAGCCTTTACTCTTCATAAATAATGATAACAATAAACCCCAGAGCGAATTGACAATAATAGAGCTAGTTGAGTTTAATACTCCATCATTAAGCAAGAAGGATGTATAATAATGAATAACAGATGCTGCTGCTGCTTTGCAGAGTTACCTCCCAGGCCAAACACCTCCAGCTTTGGTGGAGTTGAGGAAGTCAGAACTTGTGAGCTTGAGAGGAGATGGAACTGGGGAGAGGAAGGAATGGGATAGGATCTATGACTATGATTTCTACAATGATTTAGGTCATCCAGACAAAGGCTGGCAACATGCTAGGCCCATCTTAGGTGGTTCCAGATGGCATCCATACCCTTGCAGGGGAAGAACAGGGAGGCCTTCTAGCAATGCAGGTATCCACACATGAAAAAGAAGAAAAAAATAAATCAAATCCTAATTGATTATTTTTCTCCTTACTTTCGATCTTTCTCACATTTCAGCTTTCCGCAGATCCATTGGCTGAGAGCCGCAGCGAGTCAATGAAACTGGACATATACGTGCCCTCAGATGAGCAGTTTAGCCCTGCAAAACTTTCAGCCTTCCTTTCAAACTCCATTGAGGCTACAGTTCATTTTCTTGCCTCTGAAGCAAAAGCTTTGTTAAGAGATGACTCTAGTGACTTTAGGTCGTTTGACGACCTACGTGAGTTGTTCTCTGGCAAGAGAAGCCAAGCAGTAGAGGAAAAAGTTGCAGAGAAACTGAAGAAATTAGTACCCTATGATCTTTTCAAAGAAGTCACAAACAGAAGCAAAGAAGATACCACCAAATTTCCACTACCACAGATCATAGCAGGTAATGCAAATTTTCCAGACAGCCACCCCAGGTAACAAGGCATTTCCATCAGCTTGTTGCGACGTTCATCATTAAGAATAACCCCTTCGTTTCAATCTTAGAGAATGATATTGCCTGGATGGACGACATGGAGTTTGCACGACAAATGCTTGCAGGGATAAATCCAACAAGGATACAATGTTTACAGGTACGCCATATCTCATAACTAATACAAACAGTAAAGCGCATGTTACGGGTACGTCAGATATAAAACATTGTACTGAGCAAAATGCTGCCAAAGTAACGTATGAGCCTTTAGTTTCAAGGTTGCTTGGTGATCACTACAATTCCATAGCCTAACAAATACTACATTTAATGTTTATTTGGATAAATTTTTCAGGAATTCCCCCCAAAAGGAAAACACTCAGTGAGCACAATCAAGGCATCAGACATTGAAGATAACCTTGATGGTTTGAGTCTTATCCAGGTAGTAATCACGTCTAGTGGTAGCATCCTTGATTTCCAGTTAGTACTACTACTATCTACATAGCTTACAAGTCTAGGGAATATTCACAAGAATTACTAGAAATTCACAATCAAGTTTGACAAGTTCAGAAACAATAACTGGATAAGACACAAAGAAAGTAAACTGATTGAGCAATAAGTTTCAATGATAGGTGTCTTTTTTTTTTTTGGTAGAATGATAGGTGTCTTCAAAGAAAGATAACAAGACATACCTGTTCAGAGAACTGGAGATACTATGATCGGAGCCCATAACTTTCTTGAAATATCTCATAGTAGCGAGCTTCATTCTGGATTTTGTTCACACTACAGGCAATGGAGCAGTGGAGGATATTCATCTTGGATCACCATGATTACCTCATGCCCTTTGTGAGCAGAATAAATGCCAATGGTGTTTGTGCTTATGCATCGAGAACCTTATTATTTTTAAGAAGCAATGCCACACTAAAGCCGCTGGTAATAGAACTAAGCTTGCCTGGATTCTCCAGAAGGACCACCAGCAGCCGAGTGTTTCTTCCAGCCAGTCAGGGCACTGGAGCAGCACTCTGGCAATTTGCTAAAGCTCATGTTACGGCCAATGACTCAGCTCATCACCAACTAGTCAGTCATTGGTAAGTTTGAATTACTTCTTCATGCATCAATCCTCAATTTTCCAGAATTACTGTAGGTACTGACAGTAATTATTCAGATGGCACATCAATGCCCCATAATAGTGCTAGAGTATGATCCCTTGATACCTCAAGCTTCAGATAAATCAACAGAGTTATATTGTAAGCTTGTATTTTCTTCAGCAACTTCACATTATACATACTGATATGCGCATTTCCTAGGTTGCACACTCATGCAGTTGTTGAGCCATTCATCATTGCGTCCCGAAGGCAGTTGAGTGTTATGCACCCCATCCACCGCCTATTGCATCCACATTTCAAAGACACCATGCACATTAATGCACTAGCTCGAAATCTCCTAATAAACGCAGGTGGGATCCTCGAGCAAACACTATTTACTGGTGAAATTTCTATGGAGCTGTCTTCTGAGCTTTATAAAGAGTGGAGATTCAATGAACAAGCTCTCCCTGCTGATCTTCTAAAAAGGTGATTGATTCTAATCGAGCCGCGTCAGAAAGCTTCTTTCAAAGAGTAATAGACATTCTAGAATTTCATTCTCATTGTTTTGAAGGTCCACCATCTGCAAAGGTGAAAAAGAAAATTAAACTTGTTAGAAGGCAAATGAGCCAAGATTACTAACCAAACATGATTTCCTTGGCAAATTCTCCCACCGTTCGAGCAAATTTACTTCTCATGAATGATAACCTTTGGAAAAAATTCATCAAACAAAAGTTTATAAGCAGTTATGCTATGATGACCAATATTTGGTGTGTGTGGGCAGTTATGCTACCAATATTCGGAGCAAATAACAATAATGTGCTCCTTACCTCATGAATGATAACCTTTGGAAAAAATTCATCAAACAAAAGTTTATAAGCAGTTATGCTATGATGACCAATATTTGGTGTGTGTGGGCAGTTATGCTAACAATATTTGGAGCAAATAACAATAATGTGCTCCTTACCTTATGACATTAATTTTTTCAGACGACTGGCCCTACAAAACCCTGCCCATCCAAGCGGGGTCGAGCTGCTCTTCCCCGATTATCCCTATGGTGCAGATGGACTTGAAATATGGCAAGCTATCAAAACGTGGGTAACAGACTTCTGCACAGTTTTCTACAAAGACGATGACTCTGTTAGGTATGACGTGGAAATTCAAGCATGGTGGTCAGAAATCCGAAACATTGGTCACGGTGACAAGGCCCACGAGCAATGGTGGTTTAACATGACAACCATATCTGAACTCGTAGAGACTCTAACAACTCTCATTTGGATTGCATCTGCTCTTCATGCATCTGTGAATTCTGGGCAGCATGCATATGCCGGTTACCCTCCAAATAGGCCAATACAATGTCAAAGGTTCATCCCAAGAGAAGGGACACCCTTATTTGCTGAGTTCCTAAGAGATCCTGATAAATTTTACGTGGATATGTTGCCAGGAAGATTTCAGATGACACTTGGTATAGCATTAACAGAGGTTTTATCACGCCACACATCAGATGAGGTGTACCTGGGATGCAGGCCACTAAACTGGACAGACAACAAGGAAGTCAAGCAAAAGTTCAAGAAATTCAGCGATGCTCTTCAAGAAATAGAGAAGAAAATAGTTCAAAGAAACAGAAATCCAGAGTTGAAGAATAGATGTGGACCTGCAAAGATGTCATACAAATTCCTTTACCCAGGGACATCTAACACCAGAGCCAGAGGGGGGCTCGGTGCAGAAGGGATACCTAACAGCATATCGCTCTAAGTAACTTTGTTGCACATACCTGCAACTAGAAACAATGACTTGCGGTACCATAAAAATGATTTAACATCAGAGTTAAATGAAAAAAAACCTTGTGAACTCAAAATTGCAATCCCAATAATCTCTCGTCTCGGTTCTCAATTCAGGATCACATGCTTTGGAGTTTTATGGATCTGCAGTTTACAGGAACTCAAAACACAATACCATCAAACCAATAGCCTGACAGGTAGAGATAGAAATGGAGACATTTTATAAAAAGGCAGACCAAACATCCTGCTTTACTACCACGATACAATTTAGTTCGTTATCGCTCAAAGGTTTAAACCTCAGTAGTATTTCAAATGGTACACACTTATACCATCAACTGTTCTGCTAGGACTCACTGGTATACATTTGGCACACAGTATATTATCAACATCGTCCTCCGACAGCATATATGGAAGAATCAACAATTCCAGTCCTGCCCATGACCATGTCAGCTACCAGTTCAGCAGTGCCCAAAGCCTGCAATTGGCAATCGATTACGAGTGATACTTCTGACATGGACATTGTTTCATGTAGTCCGGCTAACACATTAATAAACATAGTATCTAACTAATCTAGCTGTTGAACATCTAGTTGTTGACATCGACAAACAAAGTGTCCATTGAATCTCAGGACAAATATGAGTAGTGATACAGAACATGGAACAATCCGAATGGATATTCAAGAACTTAACAGACCAAACATTTTGAATTAAAAGGCTGGCCACAACATTACCATGGAAAGTCCACCACCTTCATGCCCAGCAGCAATGAAAACATTTGACATTTCTGGCACTGGCCCGATTACTGGCTTCCCATCAGGCACTGGAACAAATATATTGTGGTCAATCTCATAAGGGAGCATCTCAAGCCAAAATTCATAAATTCAAAAGCAATATTTTATTCTTCGGCAGTTGTAAAGTAAGTGTTCTTACTGTAAGGGCGTAATCCTATTCTCACTTTTCTGTCCTCAGTGAAATTTCTCAGGGGTCTTTCAGCCAACTTTGGAAAGAACTCCCCAGCCCTATTCCAGATACAATTTATAACAGACTCTTCCACTTCAGTGTTGAACCCAGCAAATTGGCGGCTGCTTCCTGCTCACCCAGATAACATTTCGTAAATAAGAGTGGCCAAAGCATGACTAAAGATATTGACAAGTTCTCATTGAACAGAAACGTTATAATGTGGGAACTATACTCAGAAATGGAAGGAGTTCCAGTAAATAATCTTGTCAAGACATGGTGTTGTGTTATATTATTCAACTAGATAAATTAACTGAAATAACCGTCCCAGAGAGAGGTTCATTCAAATCTGGAGAAACACAAATCATAGGGCTTCTAATGTTCAATAACATCAGAAAAGGCGCAGCCAGACTGAGTGGCACCACAAGGGAGAATCGCCTCTCCAGACAAAATAAGAGCCAGAAAGTAGTATTGGTGTTCTAGTCCTCTAATCATCCCAGTAAACCGAGTGTTTGAAATTGCAATACTTAAATAAAAAAAAGTGTTTCTCACCTTAGCAATAAGCAGTTACGCTATCCTAGCACATCAAGTTGACAATGTACTGAAATTAAAAGGGACCAAGGAGAATGTAAGGCTAGAAAGGTAAGGATTTACCAAGAACAAGGTTTCCCATCACATCAATAGTGGCTCCCATTGCCACAAACAATGAATTCTCATGATCCTGTGATTCTATATCTGACTTTTCATGTTGTGCAGCTGCATCTTGGTGGCCAACATAACCAGCTTCCATCGTGCCATGATTCAACTTTAGATCAGCAAAGTTCTCCAGCACGAGCAAGTGTCCCTGTGATCAATATCAAACTTGGACATAAAGCAAGTATTTTACCTCAAACGACAATGGAAAAAGAAAATGCTATTTTGACTTAGAAAGTTACAATTAATTCATAGCGGTGCAAGGAATCAAATAATAAAGGTAACACCATCCCCCCAAAACTATGATTATTGCAAAATCAAGGGACTGCTGAGTGACTGTTTTGAAATGGGGAACTAAATCTCTTCCAACTTAAGCTCTTACCTTCCTGGGCTTGATAGGGATATTTAACGCAATATCAGATCCTTTAAATAGCTCACGGCTCAAAGTGCCAGTCCAAGAACCAGCTGCAACTATAATGGCCTTTTTACTTATCAATGTACCGCTGGAAGTCTGAACACCTTTGAACTCTCTACTTCCACTAGAACTGAAAAAAACAAAAATTGAAGTTGAAAATAAACTAAAAGTCATATCCTGGTCTATGCTTGTAACATGATGTCCTTGTTGATGAGCAGTGTAATATGGGATAAGAACAGACCTCAGTAAGCCTGTCACTTGCTCATGAAAGAATTCAGCATATCTCCCTTCTGATGCATATTCTCTATTAGCCTATCCATCATCAACAAATGCAGAACAAGATTATACTCGCATTAATACGGAGCTTTAACCAGAATACTAATCGATGAAAGAAACCTTCTGGATATAAGAAGTGGTACGATGAGCATCCAGTTGACAATCATCTGGTAAGAAAGCCGCCCCGCCGTCCCGCCCCACCACCAGTTCAGGCTCCTCAAGACTCAGCTCCTGACTAGAGAGGTACTGAGCTCTTATCCCAGCTTCAGAGAGCTGCTTCACCTTCCTTTTCAGCATCTCTGACTCCTCAGGAGTTCTTCCAACTAACAAACTTCCTGCGGCACAAATGAAATGAGAAACAAAAACAGCAGTTCCTGTTGGTACACACAGTTAGTGGGAATTACCAGTTCTCTTCCAGCCGAGCTCATCGGCAGGACTCAAGCCTTGATCAATCACGCCCTCGGCAAACGTCTCCCATAGTTGATGGCTTCTGGTAATGAGCTCCCACGTTTGATCCTCAGGCTTAAGGTGAACCTTCCATAGGTATCCCTGCCCTAATAAATTCCCCAACCGAGTCCAAAACACGATTCGAAAAATCAATTCCACCCAAAAAAACTAGTTGAAAATCAATCGAAAAGAAGGAATTAATAGAAACGACGAATAATCTGAAAGTGATTACCTGCGCCGGTAGCACCGGAGCACGGAACAGCCTTATCTACGACGGCGACGGAGAGATCGGAGCTAGTCAAGAGCTGTCGAGCGATCGTCAATCCGATGATTCCGGCGCCTATAACGACGACGTCGAAGGTGTGGAAAGAAGCAGAGGCGGCGGGGCTGAATCGGAGAGCCCGGCCGCGACATCGATGTGTCGCCGGTGAGCAGGAAAGCGATTTGGTGGGGAGTTTGGAGCCGAAGAAGGCGGATTCTGTGTTATAGCCGTTGGGGAAGGCAAGTGAACCGCGGCGGGAGCGTGGAAGAGAAGCGACATCGCGGTATTGGGGAGAAGAACAAGTCCACGAACGGGGGAGCGATAGCGCCGAAGAAGCCATTTTTGTTTGGGGGGAAATGGGATAGTGCGTTTGAAAAATGAACAGATGGCAGCGGAGCGGTTTTAGCTTTGAGACTGTGGGAAGAAGAACGACTGTGGGAGGAGACCAGAGAAGTGCTGACTGAGTTAACACTTAACAGACAGATAAATGAAAGTGATTGACACTCAGTTGTTTAAGAATAAAATTAAAATTCAATAATACATGGGTAAATTACAAGTTTGGTCACTGAGTTTACTAAAAAGTGTCATGTTTAGTCACTCGAAATATTTAATTTCAATGTTGATCACTCAAATTAGTAAAACGATTCACGTTTGGTCGCTCTCCGTTAGTCTCCTTTAACACCGTCAGTCAATTGCTGACGTGGCTAACAGAAATGTTGACTTACCCAATTTTAACCCGCCACATCACCAAACCCGACCCACCATGTCATCTCCCCAACCCAACCCAACCCTCCGCCTCCAGAACCACCACCGCCAGAGCTGAAACTGGAAGTGGAGGTGGCGGCAGCCAGGAAAGCAGCGTTGATTAGAAGAATGTCGTGCATCAATGCCAATTCGGATCGGGTCCTGAGATCCGCCAGAAATGCACTGAATCAGTACTCGTACCGCTTCTTCCTCGACGGCAAAGATGCCATACCTCTCTTCTTTCCTCAACGACGATGAGCCACGCCACGAACCCCACAAAGGCTTGCAAAGTTCGTCGATCGTCGCCGCCGTGATTAGCCGTCGAGCGAGAGAGTCATTGATCGAGGAGCAAAAAAAGAAGTAAAGTGATGGGAGACAGTGGTAGACGGATCGACGTGGCGGTGTATTTCTCCCCATACAGCATCAATGCTCTGAAATGGGCGATCGACAACCTCGCTCACGACGGTGACCACCTCATCCTCGTCCACACCCACCCGACCGCCCCGCTGAAGACTCTGGGAAACCACTGGCTCTCGTAAATCGACCCCCCCCCCCCCCCCCCCCCATAAAGCTTTATTCCTGTCCATTCGATTCAATTTCCATTTCAAACACAGCCAGAGCTTGATGAGCTAAGCACAGAGAGGAGAAGAAGATGGAGGCGAGGCTTGGATGTCATAAGGGATGGGGTTTTTTGGTTTTGATTTGGTTGGGAGGGAATTGGAATTAATGATTGGGAGGGGATTCACTGCAGCAAGGAGATGAGAATGGCGATGGATGAGAGAGTATGGACTTCTGGAAGTGGTGAGCGATTGCGAGGGGGCGGTGGTTCTAGAGGCAGAGGGTTGGGTCACGATTGTGAAGGGTTGGGTCGGATCGGGGAGATGACGTGGCGAGTCGGGTTTGGTGATGTGGCGAGTTAAAATTGGGTGAGTCAGCATTTCTGTTAGCCACGTCAGCAATTGACTGACGGTGTTAATGGAGAATGACCAAACGTGGATCGTTTTACTAATTCGAGTGACTAACATTGAAATTAAATAATTCGAGTGACTAAACATGACACTTTTTAGTAAACTCAGTGACCAAACTTGCAATTTACCCATAATACATAAATTAAATGCCATCACGCAGTGAGGCTCGAAAAAATAAACAGAGAACTGCATCAAGTGTACATCTCTGCAGAATGCAGTGTATAAAGCATCTCACACATGCTCCACTCTCAGTCCTCTTTTTAAAACAAAGCTCTGGTCAGTAGTCAAAAGGTCCAAAGGTTTCAAAGTCCAAGCCACCACCAAGAACAAGACGAGTTGCAAGTGGAGCACACTCGGCATACTAAAGCTGTTGTTGAGTCCATTCCCTTCCCTGGATAATGTCTGTAGTTCTCTATCTCTATGCATAGGATGAATTCTTGGCTGGACTAAGATGCACGAGTCTCTTCTTCTCGAGAAAAAAATTTATAGCTCGTCTAAGTCGATCATCAACTCACTCTTCTGGTAACTGTCCAACAATTCTGTCCGGTGATCGGACTCTGAAGAAACCCTAATGTCAGCCATGGCTACTGCTGCTTTGTCTAGTGAATCAGCCAAACTGGCTTCCCAAAACCCCGACCTGCAAGCTCTGTCATATGTCTCATACCCACTTGCTCTTACGCCCTCCGAAACCAGCTCCCTCAAAGAGCTGGAAGAAGCATCTGATAGATTATGAGTCATGGCATTCAGAAAGGTTCCAGACGAACCGGGTCTCCAGAACACAACTATAGCACAGCTCTTGTCTACTAATCGAACGTGGAACCCTTCCGAGAAAACCTCATGAGACCCTTGCAGAAGGCTCTTCAGCTCTCCAGCTGTTGTACCAGACCTAAATCCCCACAGGAAGACCAAATCATCACATCTCACTTTCTTTGTGTTGCTGCTAGTCCATACCCTGATTTCTTCCCTGACAGTGGGTTCTTCTTGTGGTCCACTGACAAGTGGGTTGAAAGTATTTGCATATACTTGAAGGGGAGAAGTACCTTTCTCAACATGTACTTCTCCTACACCAGGTGTGAGTTTCAGTATGCAGCATAACTTTGCAAACAATTCACTAATGCTCACTACGTTATGCCCGTGAATTTCCTCTTCGACCGCTGCACCTGAAATAAAGACAGATGGTGGAGAAGTAATGACGCATTATTAGGAGGTTCTTACAGATGCTTGAGAATGATAACTATCAACTGTTATTAGGAGGTTTTTACAGATACTTGTAAGTCGTGTATTGTTGTGTTCAAGGTTTTAAGTAATTAAGTATTATTACAAATGTATTTTCAATATCATTTAATCTTAACTTTTATTTTTAATATTTTCAGTATTACTATTATTACTACAAGGTCCAATTAAACTTACGACATCAATCTGATTTAACCCCACCTTGTGTTTTACTTGAACTCTCAATCCCAACAACATTGAATACATTGACAGCAGTTTATCATGCCAACCTATTTGTGGTCTACTTCGATGTTCCCTGCCACGCTCACAGGTGTGCTAGTATATCTAGCTGCGTATGGACAAACAAATGAGAAATAACCAGCAGGATAACTAACCTTGGAATGGAATTTCTACATCAATTGGTACAGGATACCGATGCTTCAAGTATGAGATGGTGTAAGGGATGCTTGTTACTCTCTTCGGGAGACCAATTTCCTGTATTAGATGGTTGACATCTATGACGTGGGGGAAAACGTGGTGCAAAGATTCCATGAACTCCTCCACAGAAGGAGGCAAGGGTCCAAGAAACTTCGAATGAATGAACGTCAAATCTGTGCATTCAATATCATTTGAATAAGATGCCAAACCAATTAGGGAAAATACCATAACATCATATATAAAAAGATCAGAAACTAAATTGAGAAGCACCATTAAGGGAATTGTGGGAGACAATAGGCTTCTGTGAAGCAGAAATCAAATCAATCACCTCTCGGAAGCCACGGATATTTTTGTTTGCTTCGTCTTCATCATTCTGAAGCTTTTTCTGTCAATCAAAGCAACAGTTACATCATTCGGAGTTCAGACTTGAGATGACTCCCACAGCCAAGGCTTATCAGAAGACAGAAGGTATGTAGACAAGCGTTTTACCAGAAGTAGATCCCGGTCTTCTTTTGAAGTTGTTGAGACAACACGAACTGCCTGAGTTCCTCCTCCCTTTGCTGGAACCATTAATGGGACAAGGTTTTCATCAAACTTTTGCAACATCTGTAGCCAACATATTACAAGTGCCAAAGGTCATTCACACAGCTAATTTTTTGGTTCAAACAGTTTTCCTTGTACAGTCAATAACATTAAATCTGGTCATGCTTCACTATGGACCAAGGTCAAGAGCTACTCAACAGAAGAACTACTACCTTGACCACAAGATGTGCTTGGCGGTCACTGCAAACATCAATGTTCATGCACGGTCTTGATTCAAACTGTTCGGTTGTCACGATGAGCCTTCTCAAGGCTTTCACCAAAGACTCCTCTGCAAATAACAAGCAATGGAAAGGGTATTAGAACAAACAAGCAAGATGGGAGAGCCAAAAAAACAAAAACAAACCATAGCCAAGTGGAGACATCATTCTAATAAGTACCACCTTTTGTGTTGCTACCAGAGTCTTGACATGCATTCTTCCAATGCTTCACACGAGATTTTACCCTCTCAACGAAAATCGAATCTGCAACAGAGAGAGGAGAAGCAGATTCCCCCAAGTCACTGACGGGCCTTGGCCTCTCCGACCGAGTTTTCACCAAAGACTCTTGCTCCCTGGACAAGTACGAAATCCCTGTTGAAGATGTCATGACCATGAAACAATCAAGCAGAAAAATCTCAATCGATAAGCAATTTGACAATAGGAACTAACTAGGGAGACTGTAAGTATATTCACCATCAGTGATGCAAGCATTAAAATCGAAACCGTCGCGAGCCATGGCAACCAAACTCGACGATTGACAAGAGAAACTGTACGATGGCATCCCAGTCTTCATTTCATCCCTCGGGAACAAGTGAAAGTTATACCTGCATCTCGGAAGAACAATCGAATACCCTCAAAAGGCGCTCCAAATTTCATTCAGATTCTAGGGAACCAAACACAACAATGGGGGGAATGGTAGCTGAACTTACGGGCAGGCAGTGACGGTAGGCGCCCGAATGCTGAAGGGGCAAATAGCCAGCTGAAGAACCTGGAAGCGGTCGGCAGCGTACTTGGCTTTCAAGTAAGCGATGTCAGGGGTGTCGAAGGGAGACGGGCGGTGCCAAGGGGCGGCGAAGGAGCCGGTCTTCTGCAGGGAAACGGCGACGAAGTCGGAGGCGGACACTTGGGTTTTTATTTCCTCGACGATATCGGCCGTGAAATTGGACTTCTTCACTTGCTTGACGGTCCATGAAAAGTGGTTGCGGGAGGCTTTAGCGGCCTGGGTGCAGAAGAATCGCCGGCGCAGCGGCGGAGGCAGGGCAACCATTTCTATCTTTTCCCGAACTTTGCGCGCTGGTGATGAGTTCTCCAGCCGAGCACTCTCTGCGGCGGGTTGCTTATTTTCTGTTTTGGCCTTTGGGTGATTGGGTCTTGAAGCCTTGTAACCGGTTTTGGGACTTGGTCCAAAATGAATATTAACGGGCTGGCTGTTGGCGGCTTGGCGACATGGATGTCGTGAGTCGTGAAATGTCGGTTGGTTGAACTTGGTATAAACAGTGTTGTTATGAAATCGACATAAATCCTATCAGTGTGATCGGTATGATCGATTTATAAACTCTAACTAAAATGATGGCATTTGAGTAAATTTGAATGATAAAAAATAATTTTATTATATGTTTTTATCAATGTTTAGATATTGATAAAAGTTTTTTTTTTGGTAGGAAAGTGGGACGCTAAAAGGGCGCCCCTGCCTGAAACTTAGATTAAACGGGTTTGGGAAACACCCAGAGTGTCATACAAGATCCAAAAAGCTAAACCAGAGTCAGAGACCTCAAAGTCATGATAGCCAATGTTACTAGTATGGCCCTTGTTGGCTTCAGGTATAAATGTGTAGATATTGACGTTAAATGTTGTATTTAAATATGAGTATTTGTTATTTTATATGAAATGTCATATTTTATTAAGCCATCATGAACCGACAAAACCGATTGCACCACTGGTAGTACCATTCTGCTTGTTAAATCGGCGCAACGATATAAATCGGCAACCTTAGTAGACATAAGCTAGATAAATTTCAAATTTGTGTTGATGAGATTGTACATTTGTAGTGACTAAAATCTTAGGATAATTAAAACTGAAATAGACCTATGGATGTTGATCGGGTCATGGATTTTTCCACTAAAGATGTACAATCTGGAATGCAATGGGCAAAAATGAGTTTGCTAGGTCGTTTGTTTATGGCAGGTTTGGCATAGTTTTCATAATAATTTGGAATTGCTTGTTAATCACTTGAAGTTGTGTTTAGAAGCTCCTAGGATTCCTTTTATTATTTTCAAGAAATTTGAGACCCACTCGTCCAAGGAGGCTAGAGGCCGAGTTTATGGAGGAAAATATCTAGCATATAGCTTCTTCCATGTACTGTAAATAGAGGTTCAGGCTATAGTTGTTACTTGTTAGACACTCTTACACATACAAAAATTAGACAAAATTCTGTTGGAGCAAGACGAAGAAGTTTTCGCCATTGATATCTTCGTCATTTATGGTGTTGTCTTCTTTATCTCTTTTAGTTGACTAAGTTTGTATTGTTTAGGAATGTGGATTCTATGATGCTTCGTGCATCTACTTTATATTATCTAATGAGTTGCTTAGGTCATTGTTTGTCTATATCATTAGATGCTTTAGTCATGTGATTCTTATACTATTTGAATGTCTTAGTCATCTAATGCCTTAATCTTTCTATGCTTATATAATCTATTATGTGTTACTATGGTATTGTTTGTAATGTCATGATAAGTTGCTAGGTAACTGCTATTGTGTGATGTGGTATTGCCTCGTGTATGTATGCGTAGTTGGAAGGGATAAGACATTATAATAGATTGATGCATAGACACATCTTTTTAATGAGAATGCATGCACGATCATCCTAGGGTTGTATTCCACGAGGTCTTTTGATGGTAAATACTCAAACCTAACAAAATATACTCGAGTGATGAAACAAGATGGGTTGAGGTACCCTTAGTATGTCGAGCTCTTAATCTACTAATGCAAGAAAGAAATAACAATGCAATTGAGTGCTAGGGAAAGTAATGTTTAAGTAGTGATGTCTAGATGATCATGCATACTAACTCATCAATGAGATACTTCTATGCATAATCTGTTATGATGCCCTATCCTTCAGTAAGGCCATCCTACTTGAGCTTGCGCCATAATCGATGTCATAATCGATGGTCTATCGCAGCAATGATATAAGAATCAAGCATTGAATCACCCTTTGGAGACTACTCCATAGATAGGAAGAGAAATACAACAAGGATGGAAGAAGAATCCATGGTGAGATGATTATCCTTCGTTCTTGTTGCTTGAATCACCCTTCGGAGAAGAAATCTTCAACCCTCTAGCCTTGGGTAAGCCAAAACCTTCTTCTTCCTCTTCTAAGCTCGTCACTTTCTCTCTCTACTTGAAGAAGAAGACCCAAATATCAGTCTAGAACTCTCATTTAGGTTTCAGCTCTCTGCTCTTTATATACTCCATCGGGCAGTTTTCACAGTCAATTATCACACACGTGATGTCGAAGGCATGCGCGTGGTCTCAACTAGAAACACACTGTTTCATAAATAGACTTCACGGGCGGATGAAATTGTCACAGTCTGGTGATCGTGATGTCTGACTTGCCCACGAGCCATAAGAAATCTCCTAACAGTTGTCCATTGTCACGGTCTGGGCTCCATCTTCACAGTCGGCTAACCGTGATAACTGACGCATGCGCGTGATCTCTGCCTTTTTGCTCCATATTTGCCCTTTTTTGTTCGACTTTCGATCCCGGAGCCAATTCCATCTGCTGAAATCTGAAACATACTAAAACATGTACAAACCTAATATAAATTTGCTCCTTGGGCGACACAAATGCCACAACCATCACAAGATAATGAGGTTATAATATGTGCAATTATACCGGGATCAATTTGGTAAGCTTTATATTTATGTTCAATGTTAGGTCTATTTTATATTCCGTCCTTTAAGTTTAGTAAGTATGGCATTGTATTATATAATAAGATTAACAGGTTTCCGATCAAAAAAAAATATTATATAATAAGATTAACAGGTTTCCGATAAAAAAATATATTATATAATAAGATTATGTTTTAACCCAAGCATATACAAGTTAGGTTTTAAGCAAGTTTATGTACTTACATTTTAAGTTACCAAATTTATCGCGTAAGAACACATTTTTAAACCCCGTTTGACTAGCAACATGTGACTAACTTACTTCTCATTAGGTGGAAGTTTATGTTCTGATATCTTATTTAAGTATTAGACGGTCGGTCGGTCACTCAGATAACACTCTCCCACCGCATTTCCTCTTCACGTGGAAATCTACGTTTTGTTGCGTCTTTCCATAAGGTGCAAGTTCATGTTTATGTATTTTATAATTTATGTCAGTTGTGTGCTAGTTAAATTGAGTTCGGGGCACCCAAAATACAAAAGGAAAATAGGAAATCTCTTGAGAAGTTGGTGAAGTTCTGTTTTAAATACAGGGGGCTAAAGAATCAGAAGCAGCAAACCGACTGCCTTCTATTGCCTTCCCGCACATCCACATGTAAGCCCACATAAACATAAACATAAACATAAACGTAGTAGCATTTCTACGGATCTTTCTTTCTTGTATCATATTGCTTTTCCAGCAAGAAACCGGCTGTAGAAGTTAAGTGCTTCTGTTGGTTTGTATTCTGGAACAGTATGACCAGCGCCCTGCAAGGCACAAAAATCCAACTCAAATTAGTTAGATTAACGGAAAGTTTCAAGGAAGACGCGTATAATTTTGTTTCATTCATTCCCACAATACCTTGATGGTTAAGAAGGTGAGGTTGTTCTCATATCCTTGAGTGTACCTGCAAACATCAACTCACACTCTTTTCAGGATTGAACACACAACAGTAAAAAATGTGCAGAACAAAAGTTGAATTATGGGAAGAAACTGCATATATATACATACCCAGCAACTTCTCCATTTGAAATCCAAGGTCTCCATTTGTCGACGATCTTGTATCCCATTGCTCTCGTCCATGCTTCACTCCCAGTGAACGGAACACACATATCATGATCCCCACTGTTTTTTTTTTTTTTTTTACGGCCAAACACACAGAAACAAGAATCCATCACATTGAACCAAACGCTACTTTGAAAGAATATGAAAAACCCAACCTGGTTACGCGGAACAACAGCTGCCAATCTGATAAACTACCTGAAAATGAGTGCTCTATATCCTTTCATCGTCAGGTTCCTGTGGTATTTCATCATGCTGCCAGCGTCATGGCTGAAACGGATTCTATTTGTACACAGCTCCCAATCCCCAGATACATTTTTCTGCCATCACCAAAAAAAACGCCGCATCCATCAAATGGGCTGAAAAATGTTACGTCTTAAAGGATATTGAGCATTAAGAGAGGACAGCATACTGGTTCAGCATTGATTGCTGCCCTAACTGCTTCGTTGTTGAGCCATTCAGTAGCAACTTCATCATCCTGAAACGGGATACATATAATGTCATCTCACATAAAACCACAAAATGCTGCAGGCAAGAACGAGAAATGGGGGAGATCATTAACTACTATTCCTTACAGTGCAAGGGACGTCACTGCTACTAAGGAGCTCTGGCCAAGTTGGAACAATTCCTTCTCTAACGTTAGCTCGAAGTGGCCAAGCACGGCCAAACAGCCTTGTCCGGACAGGGAGAGGCCGTTCTGTTGCACCTAATTCCAAGAAACTGGAGGGCAGTCTGATTTTGATATCTGTTGCATCTTTAGCAGTGCTGTCATGATAGCACGGTTCTAGGATGTCGTATATGTTTAGACCGTCAACTTCCTGTCAAAATAGAACAATCATTTTGAAGATGCTGGAATGTAATGAGAATAATATTCGACCTGCTTCAGAATAATAAGCTTGGCTGTTACCCTATCAACTTCTTGCAGTTTCTCCTCACAAGATCTCTCGAGTGGATTATAGAAATTTCCATTGCACTCTCGGGTAGTCTCCTGCAGAGCATTATATAGAACCTATCAGAACCATGGAAGCCTTTAACGTACCCTTTAACAAGAAAGGAAATTCAGAACAGTGAATGAAACATCCTTGTTTTGTACCGGTTCACCCAAAATCTTTTAAATGATTTTGATTGGTTGGTTAGAAATTCCAACCCGTTCGTTAAATTTAGCAAAGCATCATTTTAAATCATATACTAGCTACTCATCAAACCCATATAAAAGAACTAAATTAGAACCTCATAAAATCCACCATCCATAACTTACACACCAAAACTTTACATATCCAAACAGCTAAGCAACAAATTTTGTCATTGGTACTAAATAGAGAAGTACACACACCTGATAAAGATCATCTGAGATAAGGCCCATCCCATGAGCAAACGGAACAAGTGCATTGCCATCAAATGCTTCGTCGGTGACTCCATTTCCAACCATATAACCCTGCACACAATGAAATGCTTATTTTGTTTTTTACATCTGTGGCCTACGAGGGATTTTACTTGGCATGATGAATGAATTCAGTTCGAGCTAAGCCTTGAAAAGAGACGATTTCGTTAGTTTTGGTACCTTCAGATTGATAACAGGCTTCACACCAGCATCAATTCCTGAAACAAGAGCCAAAACCCCATTTTAGATTACTTGTCACAAAAAATGGATGATTAGATCAGGTATAGAAAAGAAAGAAAGTACCTTTTGAAACTTCATTGGCAAGAGTAGGGACGTAAACTCCAGCATATGACTCTCCAGCAATGAAAAAAGGGTTTGAAAGGAATTCCGGGTATAGCTCAAACCACTGTGTTTCAGAAATTAGCACATTTACAATGCCATAAGCACAGAAACAGAATTATGATCTTCAATAACAAAAATTTCAATCTTTTTTAATACCTTCAAGACAAAGTCTTGGGAGTCTGTTGCAGTCTTTAGATCACCAGTTATGTATTCTGATGTGTCATCGGCATAAGAAAGTCCAACACCAGCTGGAGAGTCTACGTAGAGAACACTTGAAACCTATAACCCAAAAGATCCCAAATAAGGGGAAGAGAAAAATATTCAACTCATAGCACTGCAAATTATCAACTCTTAACGTTACCAAAAAAAGCCTTTAAGGTCAAAACGGAAAAGATAAGTAAACCTTGGACCAACTGTATGGGTTCAGATGCAACTTGGGTAGACCTTGCTTTGTCTTTTCGAAATTGAAAGGACCTGCACAGTGCATACAGACGTATCTCTTAGGTATACAGTCAATTTAACAAGCAATCTTCAGTCCCATTCTCGTTTTAGAAACAAAGAACAGAACAAAAAGTCCTGTGACAATTACTTCTGAGTTCTGACAGATCAATGTTTCAACTATAATCAAGCTGCACTAAATGTCTTAAAGAATCACTCATATCCAATTGGGATTAACCATACCATGTTCATACACAAATCCATCGAAGCTGGAGCATCCAGGGCCACCATTGAGCCAAAGAACCAGAGGATCCTTTGATGGGTTCCCTTCCGATTCGACCAAATAGTAGAATAATTTCTTCCCTGTCGCTTCATTGATCGTCACATACCTTTCAAAAGCCAAACCCCAAAAGGACCAAAAACAGAGAAAAGCCCATTACTTCCAATCAAACAAGAACACAAACAGCATAACCTCATTTCCAAGCACCCCATTTCCAGAATTCCAGGGACCTAAGAAACCCAGTACAGAGAACATAAAACCAACTGAGACTAGCAAAAACACTTGTGGAAGGAGAACATACCCGGAGTAGTGCTTGGAAGGGAAAGAGCCAGAGAAGCCGGGAAGCTGACTCACGAGAGCATTTTGAGGAGCAGAGTGCGCCACTAGCACTGCAAAGCTTAGCAAGATAAAGCCTACCCTGTACCAGATGATAGCCATTTTTTTGAATTGAAACAGATGGGGCTTTCTACAAAGCAAGAAATTGGTTGAAGTGAGGCGCACTATCCAAGGGCTCGGGTCCCCATTATCAGGGTATTTATATATTCCATTGGGTTTGTATTTTCTTCCAGCTTTCCCATTTTGTTTTTCTTAGGAAAAGGAAAAAAAGAAAATTTGCTTACAAGCCAAGATAACATGTGAGAAAGATCGATGGAAAAGCAGTACCGTGGGGAGAAGTTAAAATAAAGGACTGAATCGACGGAGAAGACAACCAAATTGTAAGTAGTGTATGGATTGGTGGCGGCAACTTGCTCCGTAATTCAGTGACAAAGATGGGAGGAAAGACGATCTTCCTGTAATGATAATAAATAAATATCTCCAGAATGAAGCCGTTCCACGTCAAACATGTTGTTTGGCGAAATGTTGATCCGGAAATCATATTGGACACAACTTTTAATCGGAACATGTTTCTTGAGTCACTAACCCATGTGTTTGTTTGTTGTTATGGTTATGGGAGTAGGAAGGGGTCAAATTTTGGATTGCTTGGGACTTGGGAGTTGGAATCAATTGATGACTTCTGAACAAGAATAGAGGGCAGAATAACAAAGGAATAAACATTTTTTTTTTCATGAGATTGATCTTCTCTTACAGATTGTTTGGTACCAAATGAATCGAGAATTCATTTTATTGTAAAATGAATTACAATGTAGAATTCATTGTCAAATGAAATCTTGTGTTTGGTATGTTATATTCAAATCTTTAGAAATAAAGTGAAGTGTCATGTAGAATTCATTGTCAAATGAATTCCTATGTTTGGTGTTTCATATGTATATGTAATTTAGTTAATAAAAGAGGATAATCATGTCATTCTATTATAATTAGTAAATACTTGTGGAATTCATTTGGAAATTCCATCTCAATTCCTCGGAATTGCTATAACTAGTTCCAATTCCATAGAATTCAAAATTTAGAATTGAAAATAAATTCTTTTTAATACAAAACACAAAAATAATTCATTTCAAAATAAATTCCTCAAATTTTATGGAATTCATTTATACCAAACGGTATGTTAAGGATTTTAAATGGTGCCCATGACGTCAAAGATGCAAACTTTTCTACCAAAAAATTGAAAACTTTCCATCATGGTGTACAGGGCGCGGACCCACTCTTGAGGGTTGTTGACAAACCTTAATTAATAAGTTGGAGCCAATTATTATTAGAATTATTAAATTACAAGTAGCCAAAACTTATCAAAAATCGAGATTCACTATTCATTTCGAAAAAAATTGTGTTCAATGTTCACGAATAGATTTGATGATTTCTTGTGGTGGTGTTTACGTGAGCTCATGTGTACTTAATTTGGATAGGCCAAGCGCAGCCGTTGATAACATTGAGATGGGCAATCGTGGTCGTTGATTATTTTATAATATCTTTACATGAATGGACTTATATCCAAACAGCCACACCGGACCTAGAGGTGGGAAACCGGTTCGGTAAACCCAAACTGAACCAAACTGAATTAAACCAAACCAAAACTGAATTAATGCTATTCGGTTCTGAATTCGAAAGGAAAATATGGATAGTTCGGTAACTAGGGTTCTCTCAACCGAATCGAATTCCCGACCGAAAAACCAAAATACTATAATTGCAAGGTCCAAATGGTGGATTTTTATGTTTGTAGTTGTTTTTAGACTTAAATATTTGAAATGTTTTATGACTTATGTGTTGAAAAGTTTGATTTTATCAGTGATGATGCATATAATTACATATTTATTGTTTATATTAGGAGTAAAAATAATTTAAAAGTGAGAAGATACGAATAGTTTAACAAATTCAGTTTTGTGTGAAAAATCGAACAGAACCGAATTATAATTTGGTTCGAATTAGATTTGAGATTTGGGAGAATTCGGGGACCTGATATTCATAATTTCGGTTCGGACCTAAACCACTCTCTTTTTGTGTGCATATCCAGGAGCGGATAGCATGACAACCCTTAAGGGGTTGTCAATCTGGCTTCCCTACTCGTTGCCGTCTGTTTCCCTTCTTCATCCAACAACCATGATTACAGGAAGGGCTTTTTAGTAAGCACCTTATTCTAATCATTTAAATTGAAACTTAAATACATGGAGAGAATCTGGGAACGTGATTTGGGGAGCGGAAGAGACGGTGTGGACTGAGACTCTTTCCCTTCCAATTCTGGATTCTCCCTCAGCAAACCAGACCCTTCATCTAGCTACGGAAAATACCAGCGACACGACGGCCGCCATAGCCATGTACAACTATATGAGCAACGACGACGACAATGAGTGGGGGGAGCCGAACCTACGTGTATATTTGGATTCGAACTGAACGTCCCACTGACAATCAACGACGAAGATATATACGACTGTGTAGCAGAGCAGACGAACCCAACGGAAAATGGCGATGATGTGTGCATGGTGGACGTTGACGAAGTTCTGGACGTGGAGGAGACGGTGAACGAAGATCATCCTGAACGGTACAAAAACACAGAGAACGGCGTTGATGTCGACGACGGCGTGGACGACAACAATGGCGGTAGGGTTTACCTGTGGCGTTACGACTTTTGTTGCAGTTGTACCATTTTACTACTGGTACAAATATTGTTTTGTGAAAATGTACTAGTAGTTATGATTCAAGTTATCTAGTGGTAGTATTATTGTAGTGGTAGGCTCCTAATGGTAGTCATCTATTGGTACATTTTTAGTGGTAGTAACGTAGTCATCTAGTGGTACTCCCTTAGTGGTAGTCATTTAGTAGTAGTTAGTGGTACTTCCCTAGTGGTACAAGGATACTGGTGGGAGGTTAAATTGTTCGATTTGCTAAAGCATATGTTCTTTAAATACAGGTTTGTTGTCATCCATCGTCTCATCCGATAGTTCAACATGGAATCACTGCCGTCATTGTTCGATCTGCTAATTTATCTGTTTTGGTATTAGACTGAGTAATGGTTACTAGTAGCATGATTTTGGTACCAATCAAATGTTACTGGTACCAAACCAATGTTACCGGTACCAAAATCATGGTACTATTGACCAAATTAATGTTACTTAGAGCTCATAATGCAAATAAACCTTCGTTGGTTGAACTAGTAGAATTAATTTCGATAACGGCTTACTATTGTGAATTAGAAATGGATACTAGTACCAATGATTGGGAATCGATCTTACTAGTGCTACCAGTAGCACTGTTTTGGTGTCGGTCTTACTAATGCTACCAGTGTCATGATTTTGATACCAGTAACATTGCTTTGGTACGAGTATCATTATTTTGGTACCAGTAACTTTTAATTGGTACCAGTGACATTGCTTTGGTAGCAGTACAACTAAAAAGGTACCAATGAAGGTTTATCTCTAAAACCAGAAGTGCACAAAGTATGTAGTTAAAATAACTAGGGAGAAGTTACTGAATTTTCACAATCAAACATGAAACCAATTGTGTCAATGTAAGAAACATTACTTTGGCCAATATCAAATTAAAGACAACAAACCCCCAAAAAACTAGTAAAAGTGAGTTGCCCCCCATCCTCCATTGTTATTGACATTGTCCATAGTAAAGGTAAGCTGCCCTCATCCTCCATAGTTATCGACTTTGTCTCCTCATCGAATAGTCTAGTAATCCAACACGGCAATGTGATGTCAAACCATTTCATCTTCAAATCGAGCACACAACCTAGCCCGAGCTTCGTGATAAGCGCCTTCCTCTCATTTGAAATGCGAGCCTCCTCAATCTCAATGATTGAAGTTATACTGCACTTCTTCTCCAAGGAGATTGGATTTGGCTGTACAGTCTGTTGCTTTTTCTTCTTGATGCGACTTTTTGGTACCTCATCGCGTGACCGTTTGCTACTAGGCCTAACACCAGATCACCAGAGTCCCCCAAGCGGACTGCTACCTGCTGAGAAACATAACCAGCAATGTCGAATGTTACTGATACAATACTACCACTACCACTAACAAGAAACAATGTTACTGGTACCAAACAAAGCTATGGGTACCAGTCCCACAACTACCACTGGTACGATTCTTAAGTACTACTAGCAATGTAGAATGTTACTGATACAATAATACTACTAACAATCAAGAATGTTACTGGTATCAGTCAAAGTTGTGGGTACCAGTACCACAACTACCACACCATTGTTACGATTCTTAACTACTACTAGCAATTTAGAAGGGTACTGGTAAAATACTACTACTATCAAGCAAGAATGTTATTGGTATACCAATCAAAGTTGTTGGTACCAGTACCACAACTACCACTACCACTGGTACGATTCTTAAGACTACCAGTGGATCATATCAACACCAAACAATCACGTCAAACAAAAAACATAGGCCTGCATGTGGCTTATTCCAACGTAACAGCCGGGAAAACCAGTAATGTAAAGAAACCTCACCGCCGATTGTCTTCACAGGCGCAAAAAGGAACGACGGCGGAAGGAGGTTCGCCTACGCACCTAACAAGAAAGAGATCAAAAACTAGGTTAGCAAACCAGAATTTAATATCAAAAGACAAAGTGGGGAGGACCGAAAGTGCCGACGAATCGGGCCGGAAAAGCAATCAACGGAGACGAATCGGGCCTGAACTACCTCTGCCCCAAACAACAAAGTCTTCGCACTCAAGACCAGCCGCCAAAAAACGATCGGAGAAGGTGAAAGGGAGTCTTTGGGAGAAGATGGAAGAAAAAGGTTTTTGGTGGCGCACCAATCGGAGACGGTGGAAGGGGATTTTTTGGGAGAAGACGGAGGAAAGGATTTCTAAGAGAAGGCGGATGGACGAAAGGTTCGGCGAGGCGGGGAGGGTGCAATTTATCCTATTACCCTTCCATGTTTAATTTTAATTAAAAAAAACTGACACGTGGGGGGCAAGGTAGGGGTTTGCACGTGGGTGGGTAATCCGCGTATTGATATTGATCCACCCGCAAATAACCCGACCCGCAGGCAATGAGTGATTGATTTGGGTGGATTGGTAACTCTTCCACCCGCACTTATGTGGGTGGGTGGTGGGTGGATTGCGGGTCATCTGTATGACCCGCATTCGATTTTTACATGAAAAATGTTGTGTCTTATATTATCGAATATTCATCATATTTTCGAACTGCACTAGAGTCTAACCATATACTTAAAAAAGTGGAGAACAAAAAATAGTTTTGACTATTATTATTGGTTATTATGTTGTGCAATATCCATTAGATATTGGATATTGGTATGCATATTAGTGTTAATATCAATTAACTATTGGGATGCAAAGTACAAAATATTAATTGTATCAAAATCATAAATTATTGATAAAATCTTACTAATTTGCTATGAACTTATAATAAATGTTAGTCAACTTTTTTAATGGCTAGTTGGAGAATTGCTTTTGCGGGTTGACCCACGACCCAACCACATCCATCCGCCACCCACCCAACTCAATCCGCAGAAGTATGTGGGTGGATTGCGGGTCACAATTATTCCAACTCGCTAGTAAGCGGGTGAGTCAAATTGAGATCAAAACCCATCCAAACCACCCATTGCCCACCCCTAGAGCCAGAGGAAGGGGTTACTGATGGTTACTAATGAGAGGGTTACTGAGGTGATCCGATCCCGTAAGGTAGGGTTTATTTTAAATAGAGGGGAAATTTACTAAATAATACTTTTAAATTCAATTAAATTGTATTTTATTTTTAGTCGCTGAAGTTTCAAAACAATACGTTATGTACTTATATCTTAAATTAAACTATGAGGTCATTTGGAAGTTGTGATTGTTAGAGTTGTGTTTGTTAAATACATGTATTATGCACAATACAATGTTTTGAAGTGTCAAGTTGTAAAATAATGTATGTATTGTTTTGTGTAGGTCCCACTAACAATCACAAAAAATTATGCATTATACAATCTCAACTAAAAGTTGTGATTGTTGTGATTGTTCCTTTTAGATTTGTGCCCACTTTTTCTTTCCATTTATATCCCCAATATTTTTTGTTTTATACTAAAAGTTGAGGGTAAATGTGGCATTTTCCTACACAGTAACTTTATGCAAATCAATACATAAACTAGAATCTCAACAACCAAACAATGTATTGTCAAAATGCATCTATTGTATCAATGCAAATATTCATATTGTAGTGATTCATTACAATACAACGATTTAACATTCGCAACTTCCAAACGACCCCTATATTTCTAGTCATTCAAATATCAAATTATTATATCGTGTATCTATAATTCTTAAAATATACAATACCTAACTAATCTAATCAGCCCATTAACCCACTTGCTCGATCGGGTCAACGAGCCAACCCAGATTGACAACCTTGGTTAGCGGTAATCAAACCCACCAATCACACTAGAGAACCCTTCGCCATGCAGTTGTGTTAATTATTCCATTTT